CCCAAGATTTTAACAAAACTTATAACTTGACCAAAATGTAATGTTCTCTAACAATTAAAAGATGAACAAGAAATCATTAACTAATAATCTAAATATCAAGTTAAATCAGTAAAACTCTCACAGAAAGGTATATTAGTGGTCAAGCAATCGTAATTATGACAAAATTCTCATTTTATTTGCCACTTGGTGCAGATTTTTTTCTTATTTCACGTATTAAGAATTAAAATTATAATGAACGAGTAAATGTCTCCCCTGCATTTTCAAACATCCTTTGCTATGGCAACTGCCATAGAGTTACTATCATTAATATTTAAAATATTTTTTATTAAAAAAATTCAACAAGTGTCTATATTCTTATTTGTAATTTTCAACCACTTTCACTAATAAATAAATAAAATATGAAGAAATTCCACGAACTTTCGGATAAACCCTCGTACATGTCAGTCATTAAATTTATATAATATACAGTATGCATAAGGAAGACCAAATGTATTATTACTGCATTAAGGAGACCAACTACTATCCACATCTAAATCAGTATTCAACCACTTTCACTAATAAATAACAAGAGGCCCAAGGGCCTTAACGGTCACCTGAGTATAAAACAAAAATCCATAGAAGATCCATAGAGTATAAAATAAACTGATAGAAGGAGCTTTTGTAAATCTTTGATCGTCCATTGTGGCCCCATCCTATCCCCAGAGTCCAGAGTCATGATCTGAACAAACTTGAATCTATACTACCTGAGGATGTTTCCATGTAAATATAACCAATCATGGCTTTGCTGTTCTGAGAAAAGAATTTTTTCAAGATTTTTCCTACATATTCCAATGTAAAACTTTTATTGTCCATTGTGGCCCACCCTACCCCTGGGGATCAAGGTTTTAACAATCTTGAATCTACACTACCTGAAGATGTTTACACATTTCATCTTTCTTGGCCCAGTGGTTCTGGAGAAGAAGATTTTTCCAATGTATTCCCATGTAAAACTTTGATCATCTATTGTGGCCCTGCCCTACCCCTGGGGTTCATGATTTGAATCTACACCACCTGAGGATGTTTCCAGTTAAGTTTCATTTTTCTTGGCCCAGTGGTTCTGGAGAAGAAAATTTTTAAAGATTTTTTCTATGTATTTCTATGTAAAACTTCGATCATATCAAAATAACTAATCATGGCTTTGCAGTTCTTGAGAAGAAATTTTCCTATATATTCCTATGTTAGACTTTGATCCTCCATTGTGGCCCCGCCCTATCCCAGGGGGTCAGGCTTTGAACAAACTTGAATCTACACTACCTGAGGATGCTTCCATATACATATGACCAATCATGGCTTTGCTGTTCCTGAGAAAAAGATTTTAAAAGATTTTTCCTATATATTTCTATATAAAACTTTGATCGTCCATAGTGGCCCCACCTTCCCCCCGCGGGTCATGATTTTAACAAACTTGAGTCTACATAACCTGATGATGTTTCCATATAAGTTTAATCTTACCTGGTCCTGTGGTTCTTGAGAAGAAGATTTTTATAGATACCATTAATTTTTCATTAATTCTTAATTATCTCCCCTTGGAAGAAGGCGTGGCCCTTCATTTGTACAAACTTGAATCATCTTTACCCAAGGATAGTTTGTGGCAAGTTTGGTGGAAATTGGCCCAGTGGTTCTTGAGAAGAAGTCGAAAATGTGAAAAGTTTACGCACGACGCACACCCGCACAATGACGGATGAAAACAGATAGCAATAGGTCACCTGAGTGACTCAGGTGACCTAATAAAATATGAAGAAATTCCACGAACTTTTGGATCAACCCTCGTACATGTCAGTCATTAAATTTATATAATATACAGTATGCATAAGGAAGACCAAATGTATTATTACTGCATTAAGGAGACCAACTACTCTCCACATGTAAATCAGTATTCAAGACTTGAGATTTTAATACCCTAGTAATTTACATGTTTAGTTACATGAACTAAATCTATTTACCTTTGTCATTACGCAAGAACTTTTTTACATTCAGCCAACTTTAACAACATTATACATGCATACAGTGTATGCCATGCATTAGGAAGACCAGATGCATTATTACAACATTAAAGAGACCAACTACAATGGAACAATGAGACAGTATTCCAGAATGTTCATCCCAATACCATAGTAATTTCCCTTAATTTGTTTGTATTTAGATGACCTAAATCAATTTATCTCAGCCAGAATTGGAACAAAAAAGCTAGTCACACAAGTGGTCAAACACATGAACAGACAGATGGACATGATGATTCCTATGCTTATATACACCCATGCTTATATACACCCAAAGTTGCCAAAGTAGAGCAGATGCAGTGGTTAGAGTGTCTATTCTAGAGTTGTGGAGAAAGAAGCTGATCCTTACATAGCGAGTTTGAATCCCACTGTGGAACGTGGAGACCTGTTCTTCAGATGAGACAGACGTATTAACCGAGGTCCTGTGTCACAGTAGGAGCTGGCTCGATAAAGATCCCTCAATGCTCAATGGCCGTAAGTGCTGAGTATAGAACAAAAATTTGCAGCTCTCCATTGGCAAGTGGCGGCGTCTCCATATGAGTGAAAAATTCTCAAGAGGGACGTTAAGCAACAAACAATATACACCCAAAACTTTGTTTGCAGAAGATTTTGTGATACATGCTTTACAAGTACAGTGGCGCCGCAGTAATCCGGACCCCAATAATCTGGACACTTCACCTTCCGGACGATATTTTTTGGGAACTGATTTTTTCCACTTTATTCCGTCTCATTAATCCGGAAATTCTCGTTCCGGATCCAGACGGTCAATTTCTACTACAAAGCGTAATATTTCATTGAAAAATGACTCGTTTATCCGGACGGTGATTTTTCGAGGAACGACTTTTCACACCTTTCTTGCAGTAGTAATAATTATTGTAAAAACATTGTCCGTGGAGTCAGTTTGAAGGCGGTTACCTGTGACCTCTAAACAATAGCGTCTATAATTAGCGCGTGTTTACCTCAGAAAAAACACACGTCTTTTATATTATAAAGCCCGAAGAATTTAGCTAGCCTTAAACTGTGCATTAATTAAATATAAATCCGTTCAGAATAGAATAAATTGCTAACGGTATTTAAATTTATGAGAATATCGGAGAGTTGTAAATAAATTTTTTTACTGAATAATAAATCACAAGATTTCCTTGTGGTATTGAGTTGCGTAAGTTTATCAAAATACGATTTTCCAATTCTCAAAACGTACATTATTTGAAACTTTTTTTTCTTTTCATAAGACAATTTATTATGATACATAATTCAGAAGAAAATATATTTCTATTTGATGCCCTAAGAAATATGTAACTGGCGTTAGTTGTAAATGCCGATCATGTTTTTTTCTAGGTATGTAACTTATAGTTTTATAGAAAAAGTATTGATAATCCTGAATATGGCTTGTATTTACGTTGAATGTTTGCAATACGTACACTGATTACAGTGTTTAGTTACTTACTTAGTTACTTCTTCCCTATGTAGTGAATATATGCGGTTAGTGATTTGAACATTCTCAATGGTGATAATTAACAGTTCTCCTTAATATGAGCTTGAATGAATAAAAAAAGATGTGCCGAAATAAAACAGTAGCAGATCAAAATTTGGTCAGCCCATGTAACTACACGTCACATAGAAGGCAAGTAAAGTTTCCTGTGTTAGAAGAGGAAGTCTCAACATAAAACTGTCTATCCATTTTTCATCTTGTAAATTACATTTTAATTTTTTAATTTTTTAAATATTAATTATTTCTTTTAAAACTATAAAAATAAAATCAATAAGTCAAGGTAAAATAAAGGTGTTTTCTTTGCCTTCACATTTGATACCACTATGTTCATATGTACATGCTTTGAGAGGGTACTTCTTTTAAGAAGTGAATCACTTATCCGGACGATTTCATTTGGGACAGAGGCGTCCGGATTAACGAGGCGCCACTGTATACATATTGTTCATAAGGGAATAAAAATGCTATATCATCAAGGAAAGCAACTGAAATTAAATGTGCACTTCTCATACATGTGATATGTACAGGCGGTACGCAAAATGTACCGTTTTTTCGAGCCCATTCATCGTGTACCGGCGGGACACCAAAATTCACGGAATATGAAAATTTGTACAGTATTTTGAATTTCTCGCTAAATGCCACCATTTTCCTCTCATTCTCGCTCGCGAGACACTGGAAAACGTCACCTGTGTTTGACACTTGACCTTCTGATAATTGTGTAGTGTACACAAACCATCACGTGTGAAGGTGTGAACTGCCAATTAGGATAATTATCTTGTTATAAATCCGTATCAAGATACCCCTTTAGGTAGCTTTATTTTTAAAGGGGTACTTAATTATAACTGTTAATGTTTCGTAATTTGATTGAAAAAAAATTAAGCCAACTTCTGAAGTTGACATACATGACTTAATCAATATACATGAATCTGACCCAGATCTCCGTAGGTATAAAATACACGATGTTTATTACCATGATTACCCTGAAATAAAGCATATCGTTTTAAGTTTTTATGTGCTGAAATTTATGTATGATTGTATTTGGTGCTGTTATTTAGCATTGATGATGTATATATCAGTAATATGAACAAGATGTAAATTGCATGGAGACATTGACTCTCACGTTAATACTATATAAAGCTGGCAAAAAAACTATCATCTAAACTAGCTTAATTCATAGTTGATTCATAAGAACATTGTGATTATATAACACAATATATGAAATTTTAAAGCATTCAAATCTCCATTACAACTTTTAAAATAGACATTTGCAACAATATATATTTATTGGTTTATAAATAAGGTGCCTTATCAGAAGAATTTAAGTGATATTTTATACCGTTTTTTGTACCGTTTTTTAATTGGCAGTGTACAGTTTTTTCACCCAAATTCCAGTTTTTTTTATGGCTCCTGTACAGTTTTGTGGTCTTTGACTTATCACATGTATGACTTCTAATTGAACTAAACAAAATTACCCTTTGTCAGAATGTAGATTTATAAACAGGGAAGGCTGTTTTTCTTCATTTTTTCCATGTCAGATTCAGACTGTTCTTGAAAAAATTCTGGCATACACCTTGTAAAAGTAAACAGTGCAGATAATAAAGAGCTTCTAAATAAACTGCATAATATTTAAAAGATCCACTTAAAAGGGATAACAAATGCATTAAACTCCATCAAGGAGACCAACTGATATCCACATATATATAATTCAGTACATGTATTTTAATTGTGATACTTTAATATCCTACTAATTTACATGTTTAGTTTCATGAAATAAATCTATTTACCTTTGTCCAATGACCATTGAGCACAAGCACTGATTTTTCCTCTTTTTTCTTAACGGAATCACCAGGGCCAGTCTGCGGTCCATATGATTCTGGCATATGTACACTCTGTAAAATGCATATTTGTACCATGTACAGGCATATGAACAATATTTCTATACTACATACATGCATCATTAAACTTAATTATCTTTTTTTCCAAAATTCATTATTCATAGTGTTTTGCTATTAGCAAAATTCAACAAAAACTATTATACCATATATACTCGCCTATAAGGTGGTCCACCTATAAGTCAGTTGCATTTTTTGAGGTTATTTTGGAGGGATTTGCTATTGACCTGCTTATAAATCGGTACAACTTTTTGCCAGAATCAATTGACAATTTCAAATCAATGCTCTGATGTTTTAACCTGGTTTCAAAATACTAATCTTTTTATGACTCACCTATAAGTTGGACATAGAGTATATACAGTACCTGCATTATACATGCATTAGGAAGACCAAATGCATTATTGCAATATTAAAGAGACCATTGCGGCAAATGAAATCGATGTATGAATTGTATTCAAAACTACAGGTGTACTAATTTGTCTGAAGTATATCATGATATAATGTGATACACAAAGACTTTAACAGGATATGTACATATACCCACATGCCTAAATGTAACAACAGTTTAAAAATCAATAAATTTTTTTTTTTTGGAAATTTCACTGTTTAATTTATGAAATATAAAATATTATTTAAAACCATAAAGCATAAAATGGTTGAAAGCTCATTTAACACAATAACTGACATAAATAGGATGTTCAATAGGGGTGGGACGATACACAGATCTTACGATACGATACGTATCTCGGTACACATAACACGATACGATACGTATCTCGATATTATGATAAATTATAAAACTATAAAAAAAAAACTTTGTATTTTATTTCATTTTTGTCTTGATATTAAATCTATAAATTATTCTATATCAAACCATATGTGCTTTGAAATTAATACTTGAAGTTCATCAATTTTATTGACTTAAAATTTACAAAAACATTGTTACATGTACATATTGCCAAATGTCTATAAACAAGTTGTTTACAAATAGTTGTGTAGTTCATCAAGAACACTGTCTAAAAATTCATTTAAAAAAATCACATGTACATTAATATTAATTGCTGAAAGTCTGTAACCAAACTGAGTTTAAAAAAAATCCACAATTTGTTTCAAAATTTCAAATTCTTGAAATTAGAGAATCCATACATTGTTATGAGCTGTTAGTACCAGATGGACTAATCAACTGTTGTGGAAACGGTACGTTCTGTAAAATTATATATAACACGCTTTCCAAACTGAACTTTTCTTGTCCAATCTTCCGATGATGCTTAAAAGTGAAAATGATTTACCCTTTATCTACACATCATTAGTTCTAAAGCGTGTTTTCAATATCAATATCATGTCTTCGCTTCATACAAGCCGCCATTTTCCAAGGACAACTACTTTCATTTTCAATTTTTGGATAGGTCGTTCGTGTATCGTTTCGTACCGATATTTTAATACCCGTATCGTAAACCGTATCTTAGAAGAAAATATCGGTATGTATCGTTGTATCGGTATATCGTCCCACCCCTAATGTTCAATCTACATTTATTAATATTGTGGGTCATCACCCCATTTTTTGTGAAGGAATCATGAAAGGCATTGTAATTTCAACTTGCTCACAGAGCAAGTTTTACACAGAGGACCAACTCTTTATTCAAAATTTAGTTTACATACTTAATTTTTTAACAAGTTTAATTGGTTTAAAAAACTTCAAACTAAGTCAAAATATTTTGCTTTCTAAATATGGACAAGAAATGTTTTTTTGCTTAAAATCACCTTAACTTCAGATAAAAAAAAATGCACTGTGCTCGTCCTCTTCAAATGCCTTGTTTGTAAATAACTGATAAAGGGTATATCTCACAAATGCTTCATTATTACAAATGTCTTACAGTAAATATATGCATCACCACAACTTATTTCATTAGTAAGAATAAACCCTTAAGCAATGAATATAAAAGTGGTGCATTGTTAGGAGTTGATCCTACTACACAAGTTTTGAGATTATCTCCATTGGTGCACTCTTTTGTTACAGAGGGGAGTTTTGTTTCCACGTTAGCAGGCAGGTGGGACAGTGGCATCTCAATATGAGTAAAAATAATTCTCAAAAGCAATTTTGAACATAGAAACTAACAAATAAATGCTGAAATGATACATCGTGATATGTAGGTATATAGGGTTGGGATAACACACAGACCTTATGATATATGATACATATCTCAAAACAATTATATGATTCAATACATGAATCTAGACATTATTTAAGTTATAAAATTTTAATAAAATTACTTTCTTATTAATTTTTCTTCTGAGGATAAATTAACCATAAATATACAAACAAACAAAAAAAATCAAAAATCAAATCACTTGAATTGAAATTTACAGCAAGGTATTGCTGTAAAAATTATCATTAATATATTTGTCTAGGGAGGAATTGATGGGAATTGCTTTAATTTGTTTTTAAAAATTTCAAAATGATTTATAAAATCATGATTGTCAAATGTCAATAAATAACACAATAAAGAAGATTCATCATTTAGTGTAATGGCTAAGCATTCAGATTTGTTGTGTTTCTCATATACTGAAACTTTGAATGACACAGTTTGAAAACAAGCTGTCTTCTCTGTAGTAGCGGAACTAGTGTAGAACCCAACATGTTCCAAAACTCGTAAGAATGGCCTGATTTGAATGTGTAAGATACAGTTGCAATGCCAACCATGCCAACATTTGGTATTTGTTTATTTTTTAGTTATTCTATGAACCAGCAATAATTAGGGCTGCATCAAATATATTGATACATATCTAGATTAATGAATATATCGTATCAAAAAAATAACGTAATTCCAATACATTTTGGGCAGGCAGGTTTTTTTTTATGTACATGTAATTCTGTGAAAAAGTTGGGAATTTCAATCACCAAAGATTATATTTACCTGTAACTGTTTTGAATTAAAACTGATCAAAAATGATATAATCATTAAGGAGGTAGCACATCTTAGATGATTATTACAAAATCATAAAAATACATAGACAACTTTACCTAACATGTTGACTTTACAGTCAAGAAAAGTTTGAATTTGAAGTGTAATTCTTTAAGACGGTGAGACAAAAAATTAAAAATGAGTTGCAAAACAATTATTATTTTTATAAAATTCATGCATAATGATTTATAAGACTTTTTTGACAGAATTGTTAAAGAATCCAATATATATTGCATATAGCATTAAAAAATGTATTCTTTTTTTGCTCAATACACAGCCCTAGCAAAAATGATATACAACAACGACTTTGATTGGATTATTAACATTCATTCGACTGATCATAATTATTAACTGTTATTGCACTTTCATTTTCAAAATGTTGTTAGGTATGTTGTTTGTTCATTCTTTTGCATTGATATTATAATTTATAAAAGAGTATTTTAGCAGAAAAAATTATCAATTTACCTTTCTTGGAATAAAGACATGTTGATCCTTGAGCTGAGATTTTCTCTCTTTCAATAGATTTGTTACACTGGGGTCCAAATGATTCTAGCAGAGACCCTGTAAAAAAGGACTTAATTATGGAAAAGTATGAAGAATATATGCCTATTATACATATCTTAAATTCTAATAAAAACAATGTTTTTAATTAAGATCCATATATTTCTAATGATTGACATAATACAAATTCAAAATAAAATATGCATGTCTATATTATACCTTAAGCAGACCAATTGCATTATTACATCCTTTGGGAGACCAACTTAAATCAATGTTTGAGAACTACTTGTGAGAACAATAAATTTGTCTACTTTACAGTATTAAATGTACATGGAATCTATAGGATCATGTTACTTAAATTGACCTGCCTTAGTTCAACACAGTAATCTAACAAAGAAATTGAGCCAAAACAACATTTTAAGACTTTTTGAACAGTGCATGTTCCTATAATTTCAAAACCATTACCAGTAAAAATGCTAATATAGGAAAATGATGACAATTAATTAATATTGTACTTTCAGGTACATTAGATGAATTAATCTGATTCATCAAGAAACATTTGTTAAAAAGCACTATTACCCGCTGAATAATGAAGCCATGCCCTCTAGTGTCACAACAGTCAACACTGCTTGTCGACAGGTAATATACCAAAAAAATAGTGACTGCGCAGATTTATGCGCTCAAGGTTCACTATTATTTGTATTTGTATAAAACATTCAGTATAATATAATAAATGTTGCATGTAGTTGAGTGTAACATTGAAAATTTTCACCCCTCGAAAACCAAATACGTCAAAAAGGGGATGGGTTTCTTTTCCAACATCTATATAGTTTCGCCCCTGCAAAAACTGGTATAGACCTAGGAAGTGTTTAAACGGGCTAAGAGAAATCAAATGCATCGAGAGTACTTAATTGTTTTTACCCAAGTTACATGCCAAAAAAGATTCAGAGAGACGTCACATAAAGTTAACGTTGATTTGAACTGAAGTTAAGGTGTCAAAAGTCATTCATGTCCAAAAGTGACATTGATCATGTGTGGTAGATAATAAACTCCTACGAGCAAAATATGCTGGCATAATCAAGTGAGGAATCTTTCCCTAATCCTATATATAAATCCATTTACAATATTATATACACTTAAGCAGCTGTTTATGACATTGTAAAATTGTATAAACAAGACCGATTTATATAATTTATATCAATTTATATAATTAATGATATAATTTATAATATAATTTATATAATTTTATCAAGATAAGTGTATGGGGTAGAGGGAGCAGACATTGAGAATCAATGTTGTCAGACCTCATGAAACTAAACTAACAGTCTTCCAAATAACCCGGGAATCCAATGCCAGGGACCTGTTAAATTTGCAGCCGGGCATGTAAAAATTGCCAAATTACATGTCCGAAGAGGGCATATGTGAATCTTCCTTCATTGTACGATCTTTACTTGCCCTGTATTCTGTCCTACCCCAATTATTCGCGTAAACGTTGCTATATGTAATGTCTTAGATGGATTGCCTGTCTACATTCTCGATACAACCTGTCAAATGATTGTCAACCTAATCATTGAAGTGTTTAGTTTAACCTATTTGTTTTATTGAAGTTTCTTGCTAAATTACGAGACGTTCATCAATGCCACATACTGTGGCACTACAGTCATGATCCCATTTCTGAAATTCAGTTCAGCTAAACCAGCCAACAAATGACCAGCATGCAAATCAAAAGTTATTTATGAACAAAAACGCTTTAGAAAATGGCAATCACAGGCCATGGTTGGTTTATGACGCTGAAAAAATTAATATAAAACCTTTATACCTAATAGGTTTTTTTTGTTGCACAATACTGGTAAATGTAAGAATTTTGAGTAGGGCATGTACAAATATGAATGGGCTGGGTAAAAATGATAGGTCTACATGCCCAAAGGGCATGTGCTGAAAAAGAATTGTTGTGAAGACTGAACTAAAGCGACAGTGCCGGGTGATCATATAAAGTCCCTTTTATTACATAATAATTTGGCAAATTATCAACATGTCAAGCTAAAATTTCCAACATATCTTAACTGTGAGAATTTTTATTTTTTAAGTTGAAACCCCATGACCTGTGAAAAAAATGAAATTTGTATCTCATCTAAAGTCTTAAAATGTATCAAGGTAATTTTCGATACAAAGAACAAGTCTCAATAAGGCTTATCTGTGGTCCCCGGTTACTCGTCAAATTTCGAACATTTATTAAGATTTTTAAAAATTAAATTTTATTATTAATTAATGTCTTTATTATTTGAATCATCATCTAAGAATGTCAAACAATAGATATAGGCAGCATATGAAGCTGCGCGTTGAAGGTACGGTCCTTTGATTTTCATGAATATCAAAAGAAATTAGTGACAGGTACACACTTCAAAGCTTTCGTAAACACTGAGCACAGGTTTGTTCAGAGTCGAGTTTGAAATATAATGTGTATATTATATGTGTAAAGGTTGAGTGAAAATATCTTTGTTGAACAACCTTGTGCTCTATGTTTTCTAATTTAAAGTATTATGATTTTGAATCTCTTCGTTGACTTCATTTAACCTCTTTATGACCTGTTAAGAATCATAACAAGCCAAGTGGATTTGTATTGTTATGGGTAAATGCCCCCAGTAAACGTGCTAGTTCTCAGTTGAAACGTACTCAGTTTTATATCGATCAGCATGGACTTGATTGGTTCATCTTGTTACAGCTTTTATTGCCAAAGTTTTGTAAATAGAAAATTGTATTTGTAGTTGATTGTGAATCTTGAACATATAATTCATCTTTGAATGAAAAATATAATTCCAAGATCTTCTTTTTATAGCATCTAATCTAAATATCTCTGCCCATTTCCATGTAATAGAGAAACCATAGTCTGATCGGGGGAAAATGTTCCGGGATTTTTTAGTGCGATATGCGTTAAAAATAGGCTTGTATTCTTTTATATGTTTAATTATTCACTATAAATACACAATGTTTTAATTAGAAATACTTCGTTATACACAATGAAAACAATCAAAATACCGTACGCTAATATTTAACCGGTAAACCAAGGGTGTAAAAAGGGACCACACTACAATACTTAAGTAGAATACTCCTTTGCGGTTGGGGTTATAAATGAAGGACAAAACCAGAGACCTCGGAATGGAATACTCGGAAGTCTCTGGTTTTATTCTACCCCCAACTGGAAATTGTATCCCATCTAAAGTCTTAAAATGTATCGAGGTAATTTTCGAGGAATAAATGGGTGGTTTACAATAAAGAGGCTCGACAAGAGACTTCTGAAACGATTTATTTGACAAGAACAAAGTCTCTTGAAGCGAACGATGTCATTTAAAAGTAGGTTAATGATTGATAATGATATATGAACAAAATACGAGCTTGAAGCGGGTGTGCCTGAAGTTGAGTTAGATACCTTGTGGTAAAAATAAGTAGGGGTGCACCGTATATGAAACAAGTGCCTGTGATTGATAGTCTGAAATTTCTCTTCACCTAAATATTAAAAGCTTGCAGTGATCGCTATAAATCTATACAACAGTCAAGTTATATATGGTAAACTAACATAAAAACAAGATTACAACAGTCATGATTACAGAAGGTATATTTTGAAGACTCTAGGTCAGTAGGTGAATGTAAACAGGTAATCATACGTGCATACATGCCAACTTTCCCGATTTTTTCGGGAGTCTACTGATTTTTAACCCCATCTACCACTTGTCTACCGATATATTTTTTAATCCCATTTCTACCGATTTTTAGGAATTCCGGATTTTTTACCGATCCGCTTTGAATAATACCGCATTTCCGTCTGAAAAAAGATGGCAGTTCGAATGTTTATCGGTAGATATCTGTTTATTGCCGCTGATAACAGGTAATCAACAAGGTGTCAACTGTGCTACCAGTCATTACTGTGGTTTTAATTGCTCCCGATTCTCATTAACAGTGTATATTAACCTAGACAATCATGCCAGATGTGGAAATTTTAGAAATACACACAACAGGATACAAACTTGTGACGAGTTCACACTTCACAGCAAAATTTGACAATATACGTATAAGCTGTTAATAAAAGGTTTTCAAGTTTAGGAAATACAGCATTGTGCACTATAATTACAACTACGTCATTGATCATGGAAAAGACACTGCAAAAATCCAGCTTGAAAAGATGCGTCTGCAAGTACAAACCGTTAGTTTTTTAGCAGAATTCCAGGAGTGGTTCACAAAAAGTTATGAAGGAGAAGACCCTGCCTTTTACAGACTTTGTATGAAAAACATTAAAAGTGACTTCTTAGTATTCCCTTTGATTAAAAAAAAATACAAATTGTGTGTCTGTGACTTAGTAGCTTTATAAAATGTGTAATTTACCAATACACAAAGACAGTTACTGCATGAACTCTTTTGGTAACTTGCTCCAGCTTATTTGTAATTAAGTTTAACATCCCTATCCATGTAATAATCTGTATGTGTATGACATTGCATAGGGCAGGGGGGTAATGTTGATCTTTATATTAACATATTAAATAATTTTGATTAAAATTTTCCTTTTTTAAATTCCAAATAATAGTGTGTTTTTGTTGAAGTTGATAGAGAAAAAAAAAACTTTTTGAAGTAGTGATAATATATGATACAAGGTATTAGACTAATATTTAAAAAAAAAACCAACAAATACTTATTTTCATGACAAAATGCCGCAAATTTAGAACTTTGAAAAATGTTGTCACGCGCAATCTCCCCCAAGGAGATTTTAAAAAGTTGGCATGTATGCACGTGGGACAGTGACCGCAAATAAATGAACCGCAAAACGACTTATAACATTAAAATGTAAATATTCTGTGATAAAACTCATATTTATCTAAATAATTTATCTCTCTAATAAACGGTTGGGTGACCATTTCTTTTGTGAACTCACACTATATAAGGCCGTGTATCGAGAGTCTCGGTGGACTGCGAGTTCTTCGTCCACTGATCTAAGCACATTAGCTACGGGTAAGCCCATCTTCCCGTTTCCGAGCACTGCATACCGATTTCGGTATCATTTTTAAGGGTACATCCCAATAACTTACTAATTTTTTCTCTCAAAAATTTATCCTCTTCATATTAGGCGCCATACTTAATCCAAATATTAGGAATTCCGAGCCCGATCCAAATTCAACTAATTAGTTCAAGTAAAATTCTTAATAAAGTTCAATCATCTTTATTTTCCAAATTATTAAATTAAACCCTCTCAAAATTTCATTATCAATCATATCATTTTTTTTCCATTTATACTTTGTAAAACTGGAGGTACCAGTTTTTTATAGTTATTCATTGTAAATAAACATCCATCAAATCTTTGTTATCTTTGTCTTACTTTGTGTGTATCAGATTTTGTAAATAGTCACTGACAAGTGACAGTCTGTCCCAGGAGCAGAGTATTTTATTATTCCCATCTTGGGGTAGCAGTCGTACTACAATTCATCTGCACACAGAGTTTTGCATAATAATAATAATTTTTAAAAAGTGTAAATTTAAAATAAACAAACCTCAAACCTTGTAACAAGGCTTGTTTCCCTGCAATCTTATTCTGGTTCTCTGTCACTGAAAATGCAGGACCAAGCTGCGTTATTAACTCGTACACAGATTTGTTGATACGAATAAACCTATAAACATATATACGAAATAAAATATTATCATAAAAAAATGAAGAATTTCAAATTGCTTGAAAAATTATCTTTATGTAGTTTATAATAAATGGTTGTAACTGTATATTAATTTCTATCTATCCATTAAAATTTGATACGTATATCAGCTTATGTATCCGTCTGAACAATTGTTATTACACTCCCTGTCACATCTTCATAGTTAAGCCTGGAAGCATGGTAAGTAAGAATCAATTTCAGTTGAACTGTTGAAGGGGACCAAAACCAAACATTTTTTCAGTTTCATTTGGTGGGGAGGGGGGGGGTATAAACCTCAAATGATCATTTTAATTATCTCTGTCGCTGAACTGCTGAAAATAATGAAGGGAACTAGGCTGCAACAATGACTTGTTGACTGAATTAAAATACGAAATAAATTATTATATATACGAAATAAAATAATTTCATGAAAAAAATGAAGAATTTCCAATTGCTTGAAAAAAAAAGCTTTTCATGTATGTGATTTACAATAAATGGATGTACTTGTATATTTTCTATATATCCATTAAAATTTCATAGTATCAGTATTTCACCATTTGTAAACATTAACAATAATATTAAATAAATGTTACACTCACTGTGGCTGTGACTGAGTTACTGTCACATCTTCATAATTAAACGAGAATATTCCCTTCCGTAAATATTGCTATATACAGTTATATTATGTTGATTTCCTCGGTAATTTCTTCACTGGCTGGATTTTCCTTCAAGTCCAAAAACCGTCTAAATAGCTTTGTAACTGCTGATCTGTTGCCGGCTCGTATAGCTTTTAGTCTTCCTTCCATTGTATGTACTACGTAGAATTCCGTCGGTCACGGCACCAAAATGTTGTGGAATGAAATGAAAGACTTCTTGATCGTATAGTGGTTTATTTGAGACTTGTTATTATCTATAGAAACAAACGAAAGTATTATGACGTCACAACAAAGTTTACGTTACATGAATTCGCGGATAATCCATGACAGATATATCTGAACTGTTACCAATTAATCTTTCTTTGGTGAAAGAAAACCTCAGGGATGGAGAATAGACCCGTACGTAAATTTAGTTGGGGGGGGGGGGGTGAACACAACCAAACAACATTTTTCAGTTTCAGGTTGGGGGAGGCTACAAACCAAAAATTCTTAATAAGCAAAAGAAAAATACATTATCAGAGGTTATTATTGAGGGGGCCCAAAAGCAAAAGAAAAACAGATCATCAGAGGTTTTTATTGAGGGGGTCCAAGCATAAAGGAGCAATGTTTTCTATAGTATAAGTAAATTTCAGCAAAATTACAGCCCCCCCCCCCCCCGTTCCTTCAGCCATGTATTGTATCAAATCTGCTTCACCCTAATTCAGATTTTTTTTTACTGCATATATATTTTATCAGCAGAGGACCACATTATATTAATAAACAATTATTAAATTACAGCTATTTTTTTTCTTACAGGGTCTGTTTCATTTATACTATATCAAGATGATCATGTCCTGCATGATGTTTACAGAAAGTTTAATTTAAATTTTTAAGCTCACAGTAGCTGCGTCAACTTGCGAGACTATTTTTTTCTACGTTCGGCCTAATCTTTAAATATTTAATTTGTTTGTGGACTTGCATAAAAGAATTAAAAAATATAGGGGCCTATCATTTAACTTTATTTCGAATTTCCTTCAGGATTTAATATACCGAACTATAGTCTAACGATTATTTAAAATCATACTTTTTCTATTGAAAGCTAAATTACTAGGCAAAACAAACAAACAAACAAACGAATGTTTGCCTTGCGTATTCTTAATTACAACTTATTACTATATCATTTTAGTTACTTACCCAAATTTCTCAACATCCATGGTGTTCAGAGGTCATTTTCTGAAAACTGAAGGGGCATTCCGATGGCATTCGGAACAAACGACGGAAAGCACTTGCTAAGAATTCAAAACATGGTCCATAAATTTACAATATTTTTCCTTTTTAGGATTTTAACATAAAACATGGAAAACTAAGTTAAAGAAACACTCATTTGAACAGATCAAAAGCGGAAACAATATATATGCTAGATTTTTTGTTTAATTGCATGTTTTTCATGGTCTCCAAAATGCAGAAAAATTATCCTTTGAAATTATACGTAGGTTATAAATTCTTTTCTTTTTTAGGGAAGATGATAGAAATTAGACAACTTTTGAATGTTAAATAACAGAGTTAAAGATTAATAGTACTTAATGGCAGACTGTTTATTTATCTATAAAAAGACATTTGGAATACTGATGAGGTCAAAATAATAGGGAGACCGAAAAAGGTCGCCTTAATCCAGTGGTCTCCCTAAGCCAGAAAATATATCCTCCTTGGTCTCCTAAAGCCATATGTCATATATATATATATATATATATATATATATATATATATATATATTGTATTTTTAACTAAAAATTCTTTAATAAAGCCTTTTCAGAAATATTCAATGAAGTTTTGATATTACATTGTCAGCTTAATATTTTTTTCTTAATAATTTTGAAGATTAAAAGTTTGTTATCTATATGTACGCTATAAATTATGTGTCATTCTGATTGAATTGTTGAGACTAATCAAATCTATTCAGTTCTATCTCCTACATTATTTGTGTAAATAAAGTAAATGCATGTACATCGCACAGTGTCCGCTGTATTGTATAATAAAATACATATCTCAACGTTCAGTGGCTTTATGGAAAATAATTAATATCGGTTACATATTTTGAAAATTTTGACAATTATGTGCTTTAAAAAAATATATACTTTCTGTGCCTAAATTTACGAGAGTGTTTTGTTTTTCTGCAGGTACAAATTATACTTATGATGTGTTTAGATATTAAACACTTCTGCTGTTATGTGTTTAGAATTTAAACATTTTGTGTTTATGAGTTTAGATATGTTTAATTTCTAAGCACACAAGTTTTTAAATTCTAAACACTTTCTAAGACATGTTTAGAAATTTTACATGTTTAGGAATTTACATATAAAAAAGGAGGTGACAACAAAGTGTTTAGAAAGGTGTTTGAATTGTAAACACATTTCTTACAGTGTAGATTTATATAGGAAACAAATTTTAATGGATTGATGAAGTTTGAAACAAAAAAACAAAAAAAAAACCCCAAAACACTGTAGCTATGGTTACCAAGAAGGGAAAAATGTTCAATTTGATAACTTCATAGCAATTTGAACCCTAAGTGGTAGCTTATTGCATCCAGTTAGAGATTGTGTGGTAGTCAAATTGAAAATCACTTTACATGTAGTTGCATGTTTATAGATAATCTTCACAAAAGTTATGGGAATCTAAATACAAAGTCACGTATCGAAGGAAATAAAGCATTTTTCAGCTTTTTATACATATTTTTCCTATAGTTTTTATAGCAACACTTCATTTTAAAAATTAAATTTGATTTTTCTGAAATAAGGATATTAGAATCACATTATTTTCTTTAAAAATTGCTCTCCAGTTATACAGAAATGTGCTCTGTAAAAAGATAGGATCAAATAAAAATAAATAGAGGAAATTTGAAATCCCTTCGCGTTATTAAAACCATAGCAACCATTGTCAACCAATAACAAATTTCACTTTTTTTTCTTAGAATATGTTACAGTGATCTATTATTTAGTTGCATTTCAACCTATAATTGCTTTTACTTTTTGAGTTTATAACTTTATCAAAAGTGAATTAATAAAATTATTACTTTTCAAAACTTTGTTTCCATAGTGACGTATGTAATAGTGGTTTCCCAAATATGTTCATCTTGCATTATAAGACATCAATCTTAAGTCTTAATATTTTGAAAAAAAGCGTTATCACTTTTCTGCATTGATGCAAACGTTTATAATGGAACTCCGAACATGTTCAAAAATGTTATTTTTTTCAATCTTTATGGCATGTTCCAATGGTTACCATGATATATAGCAACCACTTTTTGCCTGATATAAGATTTGATATCAGAGAATTTTATCATAGAGAGTTTGGAGAAATTCAGGGACTATGCGTGTCGTGGTTTCTGTCATTACAAAGAATATTCAACTTAATATTTTTTAAACCAGTGCAGACATTTATTGGCTACCAACAGGTGAGCAACACTTGTATTGAGGGCTTCTTGTTTTTAAATTGTTTTAGAGGGTCGCACTTAAATCATATACTGTTTGTTTAAGGTCATTTGGAGGTACTGTACTCCCTGTTGAAATATAGTTTTGTCGTCTTTATTTCATGTCACCAACGCAATGTCCTTCATCAAACCAGTGCATTATTCACGAACTACTTTTAGGAAACCAAAAGTATGTCATACTGAAAATGTATGTTTTATCTGAACCCCCCTCCCTTTCTGTTTCGATAACTAAAAGAAAAAAATCTCGCTCTGTAGGAATGGAACACAAAATAATAATTACTGACTATAGAGTATCCAGCATTATAAACGCATCACCAAACACAACAACGACTAACTCTTTTAACATTTAGCTGCAATAATTTACCCCCACCCCACCCCACCCCCAATGCTCCTTATACACGTAACGAGATTCCGCTTTCTTCCCCTATTTTGGTCACAACTTTTGAATGAGAAGATGTAGGAAATTCATATTTCACAGGTACACTACCTATGACAAGACCTTTCCAAACATACTATGAAATTCCCCGTGACCTTAACCTTGAAATTTGACCTACTTTTCAAAAAAAAAAAAAATACTTAAATTACCATGATCATAACTTTTGAAAGATAAGAGATAGGGCATATTTCACATGTACATCACCTATGAAAGACCTTTCTAAATATACTATGATTTTTTACACCCTAACCTTGAAGTTTTACCTACTTATTAAAATTTTATCATTGTGTATAATTTTTGAATGAGAGAAGATAAAGCATTCATATTTGACATATGCATTACCGGTGCAAGACGTTTCCGAACATGCTATGATATTTGACCCCGTGACCTTGAAATTTGACCTTTTTTTTTTTTTTAAATTTTAACATTGGTAATAACTTTTGAATGAGAGAAGATAGGGCGTTCATATTTAACAAGTACATTATCTGTGACAAGAAGTTTCCGATTGTGATGTGATTTTTGATCTTGACCTTAAAGTTTTCAAAAATTTTATCATTGCTGCTAACTTTTGAAGGAGAAGAGATATGGCATTTATATTTGACATCTGCATTACCTGTTTCAAGACTTTTCTGAATGTTCTCTGGTTTTTGACCTCATGACCTTGACCTGAAAGTTTACTCTATAGTCTTTTTCAAATTTCATTTACATTGGTAATAACTTCTGAATGAGAAAAGATAGGACTTTCATAGTTTATGTGTACACTACATCATTTTTCACTTCATGGCCTTGACCTTCTTCATGTAAAATAGCCAAATATGAAACAAATGTGTAAACTCTGTGGTGTCTTTTATTTCTAGTTCAAAGAGATATATCGAGTAGAAGTTTGAAGGAAAAACAAACAAGATAGTTACAATACGCCATAAATAACTGCAGCTAAACCACTAAAACACCGAAAGTGGGGGACCACGATTCTTTAATTTGCTTTTTTTTTCATTACAGTTTACTAGATGTTTATGTGCAATCAACTTATCCAATAGTTTCTCACATATTATTTTTTGCATACTCAGAAACAAATGCTTTCTGATGCATAAAAAATCTTCAAACTAGCAAGTTACCAACATAAATAAGGAAAATTAAATTTAAAAAAAAACACTCTCTTTATGGGGTACAGAAGAGATCGCATATGCAAAGATTGATGTCATATGAACATCCCTTAAACTTGATCTACAAATGTCTTAATTGAAGCATTATCTAAATACAACCTTTATCGTCCAGTCAAGCTGATAGTAGGCAGCTTACAAACCTTGATAATTAAATAGGTTGTAAAGTTATTTGCAAGATGTACCGTTTTTGTTGGGTTGCTGGTTCTGTTGCAGTCATTGTTGCAGCTCTAGCAATACAAGGTTCTGCTTCCTTCAGGAAACTCATTGAAGACGACACTGAACTTTTCCTCAACTTTTTAAAACATGACGTTCTACCAGAAAGATATCGCAGTACAGAATATTTCAAGAACATTGTAAGTATGAGAATGAGATGTTTAGTTCTGGTCCTCTGTTCATATACAACTTAAAGACACCGCAATCCCCAAAGTTAAATATACAAGTCATAGCAGCAAGCATTGTGATGTCTATGGTGAAACTTTAATTGTGACGATATTCCGAAATAGTGAAGATTTGGGCAAACTTCATTGACTGATTATGTTAACACTTGCAAAAAAAAAAATGTGCTAAGTTGAAGTCAATGTTCATTTGTTTAAAAAATTACTGTACAATTACTTAATGGCATACTAGTACACCGTGTAGTATATGTGGCTTAAAACGAGACTTCACACTCAATCCTTCAAGATTTTGAAAATACTTTTTTTCGAAATATAAATACATATTCTAGAATGGAAAAAATATCTTCAATGTGTTACCTCAAATGAGGACGATATTGAGCATGGGTTTTCCTAGCACATCAATGAAATGAGGGTTAATTTACTTCTATTATATCTTAATTTCGTGAGTATAGGGTAAGACAGTAAAAGTGCAGGCGTTCAGCTTCAAAAACTGTGGTGGAAACTTTGCCGGAATAAGCAAACTCCAGGTGGTGCCCGACCCTCTCAAACTACCGGGAAATTTCAATGTGTCTGCCATCGGCTACATGAAAGAGGGTTTAAAATCCCCTTTACAGGTAGGACAAACTAATTTACAGAGAGGACAAATTTCGTTGATGAACACCAAGTGTATCATATTATTAAAGAAAACGCTGCTTCCGAAAGCCGTTCCAATAATTGCAAGGAGAGCGAATCGATTCTCGGCTCCCGGTGATGCTTCTGTAAATATCTATATATACATATTTTAGGCATCTCTCCTCATTCACAAGAAGGCAGCAGGTGTTTGGGTAAAAATACCATGTATCGGAGACTTTGGGTCATGTGACTATGACGACTTTTGTGAAATACTCGACATGGCATCGGAATGTCCAGATGCAATTCAGAAATCAGGACTTGGCTGTCAGTGTCCATTTAAACAGGTATGAATAATACTAGTAAACTGATGGAACTCGCATACAATAAATACATGTTTTAGGACAACCAAAATTTGATAAATCGGTTAAAATTTGAGGATTGACATAAGGATATTGTTTTCAAGTACTTGCAAAATTTTTGGGCAGCACTTTTGAAATAGTATGATTTATGATTATCGAAAATATATTTTCAGGGAAATTACAGCATTCCAAACATAAATATGTATGGATCCTTTGGATTTCCCACAGGAGATTATAATCTAACAGGCACTCTTCACTACCAAGGAAAATATGTGGCCTGTTTGGAAATCATTCTTACAATAGCAACATAACATTCTAAATGATTAATGAAATTGTATTCATAACACATTCTTAATAGTAGTGTATTTCTGACAGGAACTCTGCATTATCAATTAAGAAGCAAAATGTTCTATGGATATTGCCTTTTTACATATAACATTGTACACTGTACTTAATATCCAAGATATTCAATAAACTGGTCATAGACGCAATGTTCAAATGAAGAAAAAATTACATCATCTTCGATAGATTTTTAGTTTCCAAGGTTAAAATATCCAACAGACTGTTTACAGATTCATTTAATATTTATTTTCAATCCTCCTAATTCTTTGCAGTTCAATATTCAACCATTCACAATCATCAAAAAAGCAGTCATTCATTTAAAACATATGTTATATGCCTTTAGGCTTTTTCTTGAATACACAGGCCATTTTACTACTTAGCAATATTTTTCATTTAATCTGTACATCCGTTAGGGAGGGTGCAGTCAGCACCCCCTTCCCCTCTATCTGTAGGGGGTCTCCTCTAAATGTGGCCACCTTGTCTTTGTTCACCCTCAGATCTGGTGCCAGGGTTTCCCAGACTTTTTTCTTTGGATTAAGCTGGCTATCTGGTGTTCCTGAAAAAGAAAATGGCTACATGAATATCCTAATTATATAAGATGTCTATATAATCAGGAGATTATGATGGTGATTAGGAGATACACGAATACCGGTACTTGTAGCTTGCGTAAGCTGTGATCATTTAGCTCTACCAAAGAGACTACCAATATACACCATGTAATACATAAATTAAAATAAAAATTTCAACATATAAAAAATTTCATCCAAGGTTAATACATACTTTAACCCAAAACTATGTTTAAGCATACCAGGATATTCCTTACAGGTGACTTTGTCACCAATGACAGCACCAGGAGGTATGTTCAGAATTTCCACCTTCTCTGGAGTGCTGGCACACATGATCATTGCTTCAGAAAGAACACCTCTCATTTTGGCAGGTTTTAAATTGCACATAAACACTGCTACTTTATTCTGCATCTACAATCATTGAAAAAAACCTTTTTAATAATAAAAATTTTATTAAACATCTATCTCAATTCAATTTTATTCCCAAATCAAGCAGAATCTTAAAATAATTTGACAAAACTCAATCTGCATTTACCTGCTCTATAGGAATATGTTTGACAAGGCCTGACACCACTGTGCGGTTTTTCTCCTCCCCAAGATCTACCTCCTCTATATAAAGACTGTCTGCATCAGGGTGTTTTTTTACGTCCACAATCTTCCCAACTCTGAAGTCTAAGCGAGAGACATCCATCTTCCCCTCAAATGCAGGTTCATTCTTGCCTTTCTTGGCTTTTGGTTCTTCAAGTGAAAATAATGTTCAATTTTAAAACATGTACAATGTTTAGGTGCAGTGAACCAATAATATGTGGATATTTGTTTAACAAGATGTTTTTAAAAAGACATGTGAGGCATTGAATTGAGACACTGATGCCCACAAGGCCCTGCACTGTACAGGAAGAAGAAGAAGACAGATTGTATTACATCAGGACTTCACTTTGACAGTTGTTACCTCCATCAGCTGTAGGCTTCTTCTCTTTTTTGTCTGACTTTTCTGGTTTTTTGTTGCTGGTTTTAACAGGTGCTTGTTTGACCTCTGGCTGGGGTGGACTCTCCTTTTTAGGTGGCTCTGCTTTAATCACAGTTTTATTGGTAGGTAGAGGAACTTGTTTTACTGAAAAAAAATTTCAAATACCATTATCTTTAAAATCCACACATCATTCAGCAATGCATATTTTAAAATTATGTATTTGTTGTAGGTCTGTAAAGTTTTTCATTCTTTAAATGAAAAATGACATAAATGTTCTCGCATTCATCAATGAAGTGAATCTGGAGTTTAAACTACAGTAAAACACACTTATAGCAAACACAATTATAATGAATTGACGCTTACAGCAAAGTGGTTTTCATTCCCCATGGCTTTAAAACATATTGTGAACTTAACAGGTATAATGAATTATATAACAAATTTTATAACAAAGCAAAATTGTCTGTCCTTGACAATTCATTATAAGCATGTTTTACTGTGCTTTTCATCCAGTAGAATACCTCCATTCTTTATCTCCGCCAATATCAGTTGAGATTTCAGTTCTTCTACTTCAGTTCGTAATTTTTGATTTTCAATTTTCAGACGCTCCTCCTCAGGTTTTGATATTGTGACAGCTTAAAAAAAAAAATATTTTTACAGAATAATTTACACCACCACCACCAATAATGACAGATAAAAAATTTTGTGCATTCAACTCAGGTGAGCTAATCACAGAGCTCAAGTAATCAAAATTCATTGGCCCCCTGAATCACTAGTCAGATGCTCTTAATCTCAGCAAGATTCACTGAGACTAAAAATTTTTACCGACATCTCTTACAAATCAAATATACTTCATACTATGATTCGTTTTTATATCATAGTGGAACAAAATATTTTGAAGCAGACTAGTCACTATTTATTATCTTGACTGGAACTCTTTGGTCATGTTGGTGTCAGAGATTTTAGCAAATATGATAATAATACCAAAAATCAATAACTTGATTTTTGGTCAAGGATGTAAGCCTTGTAAAAGTAAGAAGTGAAAGTTTTATAGAGATATAGGGAGTTAAAAGGATGTCCAAGGTGAAAAGTTGAAGTAGGCAGGGAATTAGATTCAACTCATTTTGATTTTAACAAGCACTCAATGTTGTGGCAAGATTTCCTAAATCACTTTGTGTTGCATTGGTCTGAGATTCTGAAGAGACATCAGTACAAAGTTTTTAGTCTTGATCAATCTTGCTGAGATTATAATTATAAGATGCTCTACCAGCTGAGCTACCTCAGTATCTGGCCACCTGCCTGACTGCCACATTTGGATGTCCCTTTAGGAACAATCAAAATATACAGTATAAATGTACTACTGTGAATTGAGAATTTCTCTACATGTAGAAAGTGAAGTTTGCCCTAATATACGCATTTCTCTCTTTTTTTCTGACCTGCACTCTGTCTTAGAATTTCGATCTGTTGTTTTAAGTCGGTAATCATAGACTCTGCCTGCTTTGCACGTTGGTTTAATCGCTGAAGAACAGATGCAGATGCCATTCTGAAAAAAAATGGAGTACAATCTAAAAAAAAATATTACTAAAAATTTGAAATTACTACATGAGTCATGAATAAGAAGTTTCTAAACATGTCACTGACTTAATTTATCTTGATACCCTACAAGCATACAGCGACCACGGATATATACCTTAGATTGACAACTCTACTGAACATCAGAAATTTTTCAGAGGAAATTTGGAACACCACCACGTCCAAAACGTTTTGATGACGCAGATTTACACTCTTGCAATGGCAGGCGGTAAAACTAACACTCCTGACTCCCGACTCTCTTGGATTAATTTTTTCGTTGATATTCTAGATATCGAGCTATGCAGATTCGGTTCAACCTTTCAGGCACATTAACTAACTATATTGAACTAAACTAAACTTACACAAACATAAATATTTAAAAAAATGTTACGAATGGTAGCTGTTTATGGACTAAATATTGTGCTGTTAAGTTCTATGAATCTGTATTTACACAGCTTACACTTCCCAGAATTTCTTTGCTACCATGCGATAATGGCAAATATGTACACAAGGTCACGTGCTACCCACATTAAGTTAAAAATTTCAGGCCCGTAGGAAGCAATTTCAGTTGGGGGGGGGGGGGACTATCAACTACAAAAATTCCTTGACAAAAAAAGTTATCAGACGTTGTTATTCAGGGGCAAAAGCATACGGATAAATGTAGTATTGTATTCTATCAGAGACTTATATAGGTCCCTGATTCTATATATCGGTCAAGAAGTTGGAATGATTTGGGGGGGGGGGGGATATTGAAAATATAGCAATCCAAAACAAACGGTGGTCGGAAATCAAGTTATTGATTTATCATATAATACCCCACATTGTTGACATATTTGTGTAATCGTGAATGTACTCAAACGCAGAAACTGTGCCTGGCAAATATGAAGCGATTCTGTACAGCGGTATGAAGAATATCAATAGAAAACCATAAAGGCTTGTCTTCCGGATTGTTAAATGTAAAATACATTAATAAAATTTTGAATCTACTTTAAATACACTTAAAAAGTTGGTACAGTAAAGATTCTGACATTTTCGGACAAGAAATACTATGTTTAAAAAACGCACCACACGTATATACAACGAAAGCTGTCATCTTGGAAAAAATACCACCACCCACTTCAGCACCTATTTCTGCGCTCTATTAACACTTTAATTTATTCGTTGTCATGGTTCTACCCCCTACAGTGATGCTTTTCCTAAATGTTGAAGTGTCTGTCAGTCGTCAACACGCGTTCAATCAACAGAAAACGGATACGGAAGCTCATCTCTATGAAGAAAACCGAGAGAGTCGGGAGTTGAAATACTAGTTTTACCGCTTGCCACTGGCAACTAATGTACATTTCTGGGAATAATATATTGATGATTCAATTCAGTATTGTTCTTCAATGTAATTTATATTCATTATATATTCTTTAGAAAACAAATTATATTTGATATTTTATGGGTTTATTCATATCATACAAAAGAACGGAAATACGCATCTAAACGCACCTTTCTAAATATATATATTTTGATCATGTGCCTGTGACTATGAATCGTACACAACAACACAATGGCTGGATCAGTTGCAGGTCAGATAGAGACTTCACTTTTATCATGTTCAATATGCATGGAACATTTTAAGAAACCAAAGGCGCTTCCTTGTTTACACACTTTCTGCGAGGACTGTTTGAGAGACTACATCGTTAGCAGATTCGAGTCCGTGGGCAGCTTCCCATGTCCAATTTGCAGACAGGTACTGTATGTTTTGCCAATGCACTACAGTTTTTCTAAAAATAAAATATTAAATAAAGTTAAAGGCGTATATACTCTATTGATACGTCCCTGATAGAGTCTAGTCCAGAAAAATTAACCTGCTGACAGTGATGTAGAAAACGATGACATGAATAATCTTGAGAACTGAGACATTGTCAGCTGATATATGGATGGTTTAACCCGGCGCCCAACCATCGCTTTCTGAGAATTTTTTTTTTGAACACCACGAATTATCAAAAGTATATGATTTTCTAGCATAAATTCTGAGTATTATTTTTATACATATACCGGTGATGGGACAATCTCTAAAATAAGAAGATCAAACTGTTCCAATTATGCAAATTTACTGTAAACTTTAGGGTTTTGTAGCATCTAGTAAAGTTATTAGTCACAGCACATAGCTGATATACACCTGTGCGAAAGATCTGTTTCTACCTATGCGGAAGATCAATTTATTTATTTTTTTTGTTTACTGTTTTAGCTTGTATACATCCCTCCTAATGGAGTATATGGGTTTCCTGACAATCACTTTATCATCAGTTTACAAGACACTGTGCAACACTCTAGTGAATTTGTAGAATCAGGAAGTTTTGACAGCAACCACCTCCAGAAAAGTGAACACGTATCTGTACCTTTAATACAACCTGACAAATACTCTGTAAGATTTACCAAACCCAAATCTACAAGACTTCTTAGAACGTTTGGCCATTTTGGTTTAGACCAAGATGGCTTGGTTCATGTATCGGGAATGGCATTCTCTCCCCTAACTGGAGAAATCTTGGTCGCTGATTGTAGTCTTAACAAAGTTTTAATGTACTCCAAATCCGGGGATTACCATGGAGGGTTTGTCTGTGATTGCTCAATCCGGGATATTGCAGTCACTGCTCAAGGGTCCATTTTGCTGACGGTTAGCCGTGCAGGTTCAGCCATCATGAGAGAATATGGACACGAGGGCAATGTTATTGCCTCCCATGGTTCTTTCTATAAGTTTGAAAACCCTTTTGGAATCTGTATCTCGAGAATGGGAAAAGTAATTATTTCAAGTTTACAACACAGCAACATTCACATCTTCACCGAGCGGAAAAAACCGTCGACTAAGTTCGGCTCTAGAGGGAGTGGTCCAAACCATTTTATGGTGCCATATTATGTTGCTGTCAATAGTCGCGACGACATTGTGGTTTCTGACAGTGGAAACCATCGAGTGAAAATTCACAAGAACGATGGTACCATTCTTCATATTTTCGGCAAACAAGGCTCTCAAAACGGTGAATTCTTTTACCCACAAGGTGTATTTGTTGATAAATACGATAACATTTATGTTGCTGATGCGAACAACTTTCGAGTTCAAGTTTTCTCACCGGAAGGAGAATACCTTTCAACACCTGTGGAAAACACTTACGAGTTCGGCGTTGACGTCAAACCAACTAACGTCATAATTGTAGAGAACTCCCTGGTTGTAGCCTTACGAGGGACTCGGGTTTCCCTTCTACAAATTTACGACTGGAGCAACTCGGATTTCGCTATGATAGCGAAAAAGAAGAAGCAGACTTCAACAAATCTGCTAGGATCTTGCTGTCCATGTTTATCATCCCAAAAAATAAACTACGATGAAATATGAATACACTGTATTTGCCATTTTCTCTGGTGTTTATCTTCAGTGTTATTGTTTTGTTCCGTGTCATTTGATTGTTCGTTCTTGTTTTGTTTATTTTATCTAGTCATGTTTAATTATTCACAATGCTTTAATAACTGTTATCACCGAATGGACAGTCAGTGTTACATTTCACATAACATACACGAAGAAGGGAAGAACGGGTTCCTAGATCAAGAATTATGATAGACTTAAATCAACATCTGTTTGTGGTATTATGATATTGGAAATTTTTTTGTAAGAGTTGTTTATAAGAAATTATGATCGAGTTTCTGCTTTACCTTTCCTGTTAAAAAGCATCTTACAGATGATTGGAAATTGGACTTGCTCATAATCTTTTTCATTGTCCCAGGGCCTAAGATTATGATCAGTAATTTAAAAAAGCATTTTACAATTAAGAAAATATGTGTAGATGTACATGTACTTATTCCAAAATGTCTTCAGAGCTGATTCAGAAGGGTACATGTAAGAATAGAGGCGTACAAGGCGAGGACAATCCCCCGCTCTGGAGAAGACATTTCTCAAAAAATATTATCTTTTTCTCAAAAGTTGCATTGTCAATATTTTTTTTTTTTTTTTTTTTTTTTTTTTTTTTTTTTACATATTTGCTTTCTTTATTTAATTGAACAAATTATTGATAAATAATTTATTTTTCACTCATATTTTTAAAGTATGTGAAAAGGGGGGAAAAACTTCACGCATATAATTCGAACTCTCTCCAAAGCTCATGCTTAGGCGCAAGACTACAACGCGTTAACCACTACGCGACGAAGTCTACATGTCTTCGTTCTGTGTCAGTGTGATTTAAATAAACGAGTTCGTTGAAGTCCGTAATTTTTTTAAAGAAAAGTTTTCTTATAGAATCAATGGGTTCAGACTGCATTTTTGTGAAACATGAAATAGATTTTACATTTACTTTTCCGTCATTTAAAAGTTAATGAAGAATGGAGACTTGACCCATTCATGTTCAAAAATCATATTTTATGGCTCTAATAAACCCATTTTCCACAAAATATGCCTAACTGTCAACTTGAAAAACAGATTATCAATTAATAAGTCGTTCAATAAAATATATGAATCAAATGTATTGAAAATGGTATTACTGAATACATAATTTTAGTAAGATATTTAACTTTTCCGTGAACATTGAAAATTGAGAAATATATTGTCTCAGAGTAGGGGATTGTCCTTGTCTTGTACGCCCTCTTTCCTTATTGATATTTATTATTTTGACTGTTATGATATATTATTTAATGCACTTTTTAAAACAACAAATTGACTTTGCCTATATAGATATATTATATACTCATTCAAATCTTATTTTGTTATCTGTTGATTGAAGGACATATTTTTTGTATTAGATTTGCAATTGAATATTGAACATAAAACCTGTATACATGTAGATATATATGGTAATGACGTAATGTTAATTTTGAATTTTAAAAGGCAGTTTAAAAGTAGAAGTACCCCTCCCACAAATAAATAAACAATTATAAATATATGCTAAAAAATTGTAGTTACTGTATCTACATGTGTTAATAATAATGTGTTTGAGACCAGTGTAGAATACAGTGGAAGATACAAATTACTTCAAAAGTTTTAAAAGTTCATGAACAATATAGCAAGACCATCAAGAAGGATAGGGACTTATCTGGACAAAAATAAATGTATCCGGAAAAATAAAAATGAATTTTACACATTGCATATACACACCGGGATATATTATACCTATAGAGGGAAGAATTTGTTCTTGTATGTTGTTGAATTAAACCAGTCAACTTTGTAGTGGAAAATTTACATAGAGTTGATTTGGAAAATCAAAAAGTGATGCGTTGTTTCGGATGCAACCCCCCCTTTCCGGAAAAGGACCTTCCAGAAACACTGCTTAGTGTTGCGATAAAAGCCAGTCAAAAATGATTTTAAAAAATATTTATACCCATACTGGATACATTTATATAACATTTTTGAATAAGTTTTTCTATTATATCACAAATTAAATAAGTTTCACTATAAACCCTGAAGAATGCTGAACAACGGTGCGGATCGAATTCTTAACGTCATGAAAGCATTTTTGGATTATTTGTCTAAACTTAAATGATTTTAGACAATTTTTCACAACAAATACACCGCTCTATATTGCCTGTATCTTTTTTACGCAGAGTAATAATTTATGGAAATGACTTTAATCCATCTGACACAATTAATTATTATAGAGACAAATGAACCATAAAAGAATTCTAATAGTATCACTGTTGGTGCTATGGTGCTATGCAATATTTCCTGTAAATATTAAAAGTACTCTTTATAGTTGCTTTATACCTAACTTATACTAGATAAAAAGAATTTTTTCAAGAAAATTACTAAAGGGAAAAAAATTTTGTTATCTTTTTTCTCTTTAAAATTATTGTAGTATCTGTGCGACTGTCCCGTGCTAAAATTTTTAAACGGTGAAGGTGAGGAAGGAATAAACAGAAGGAAAGAGCATTTAAATACAAAACATCTAATTCCCACATTTCCTTGCAGGCAAATAATTCATTAGCCCTTTTGACGGGGGAGAGATAAAAGGCTTATGTCCTCTACAAAAATTTAGAATTTTTCAATTTAAATTGACAATTCATTTGAAAAGCTCAAGAATTTAGAAAAAGTTGTTCAAAAAACACAAAACAGTAACTTAATTTTAGAAACTAGAAAAATCACTTATAACAGTAAAATTTTCATCGTGATAATCTGTCCTCTACAAAAATTTAGAATTTTTCAATTTAAATTTGTATATGACAATTCTCCCCTTGCCACAAAAAGTTTGTCCTCAAACTTAAAAAAAAAGATACACATGTAAATATAAAATTAAACATTGTGCAATAGTAAATATTCAAAATTTAGTGTTCAAAATTTCTTTGTATAATTCAGAATCTTTAAACTGTCTATATTCCTTTCGGACAAGTTTACTGTTTTCAACAACTCTTTTACACATACAGTTCTGTTTGATTGATCGCAGTACAATGTGTTCCATTTCATAATTTTCCAGAAGCCAGTTGTAATGGGAAACAAGTCCGGAAAGTTTCTTTAGATCTGACACGGCATAGTTTAAGTATGTAGAATACAGTTTTATCTGTTGATCTTTTTCATCGTTCGACTTTGACTGTTTCTCCAATTTCCCTTCTAGGATTTCAATGTCCATTTTCATTAGCGCTTTTGTATATTTGAGATCTTTTACCACGGACTGAACTTCTGATGGAAACACTGACTTTAAATTGACACACTCTTTAAATTTGGAATCACTTATGTTTGCAAACGGAAGTACCCGGAACAATCTTTTCCAGCTGTTGTAATCCTGCAGTCGTTCGGTGTCCCTTTTCCTCTTTGCATCCGATTTTACAGCGCGGCACGAACGTTCTCCGCACACTCTGCTAAAGTGTCCCTCTTCTCCAACATCTATGGCAGCGTTTCTCCAAGGCGTTGCAGACGGAGTAATGCCGTCTGTTACATCTGCTGCAAAGCGGCGCTGAAACCTGCCACTGTGGTCGGAACTGCATGTCGGTCCAATGTTAAAGCTGGTCGTCCTCGGAAACTTTGAGATTTGGGGGAATACTCGCTTAGCTTCATGAGAGGTGGTGTTGTACCCGGATATCTGCACCAATTAGCACAATTTTTTAAAAAAGATCTCGCCCGATCGACACCCAGGCTGCGCTAAAATAAGACTATGTAGAAACTATGAACGTCTTATGTCTCGCTTGAAGAACTTCTTTTTGAGTTCCCTGATGATGCCGCTCACGGATTTTGTCAGCCACGATTTGCGCTCCTTTCTATCTATGAGTCTTATTAAACAGATTTGAAACAAACTCCGACTGGCGTATTAACTTTTAATATGGAACTGACAAATTTTGCTACAGGTCGGTGTACTCGGGATGGCTGTCCGATTCCGACTAATCATCCAAAACAAATTCAACAGTATATATAACAATTATAGAATGACATGTGTAAAAATGACATTTGGAGACAAATAGATAAAGGTTTTGACACTTGAGTAAACCCTTAAAATAATTGAGGGCCAGATTATCGTCCTTTTGATGTTATTTTGCCTAAAGATAATTTAGCAATATCAAACGATGACAGGTGTTAAACCCAATCGGCTTGGATTATCTGAAATCGCCGATGTTTTAATTCAATCAAGATTAAGAGTCGTAAATTCAATAAAGAAAATGATTTGAAAAGCTCAAGAATTTAGAAAAAGTTGTTCAAAAAACACAAAACAGTAACTTAATTTTAGAAACTAGAAAAATCACTTCTAACAGTAAAATTTTCATCGTGATAATCTGTCCTCTACAAAAATTTAGAATTTTTCAATTTAAATTTGTATATGACACTTATATACGTCAGAAAGGGGGGGGGGCAAACTTTTAGTAGGATCTTGGGTAATATTTGTTAAATGCATTTATATCAGAAATGCATACTATTAAAAAATCATAATACAAGGCATTATACTCTATGTAAAAACAGTTGATCTTAGGCAAGGAAGCAATTTCACAGGGGGGGGGGCACAACCCAACATAAATCCTTTGACAAGGAATAAAGAAAAGGTCACAGGCGTCCTCATTGAGGGAGCACTACTGTATAGTATATGTGGAAATTTAGTGGGACCCCCCCCCCCTTCATGAATGTTTTTACAGATCTAACATTAGGCATTGAAACGATTTGAATGAGACACATATAAAAATTCCCAAATACAGGTACTTTTCATAGGGTAAATAGAAAAGCTGAAAGACATTGTAGATATTTTACACTAGACAGAAGTTATGTTATTATAATTTTCAGTAATATTTCTATAGTATACACACATATACCAACAACCCCATTGGCGGATCCAGAGGGGGGGGGGTTCCGGGGGTTGGACCCCCCCCTTTATTTTTGCAGAGAGAGAGAGAGAGTGAGAGATTTCTGTAACATAGATAATTTAACGTCTAATATTTCGAATAAAATAAGTAGTTCAATCTCTGCCCTTTCTGCTCGCTAGATAAAGTGTCCCGTATTCCATCCTCCAGGTACCTTCAGAACGTTGGCCCCGGGCCCCGACCACCCACAAGTAACATGCAAGATTTCACTTTGATATCATTGGAAGATTCCAGCGAACTTCAGTTTTGCCATTTTTGGACCATCTCCTGAAGTAACTAACTTTAAAAAGTATGAATAAAAAGTCATGAAAGGGAGCATACATAAGAGACTATTATGGTGATATTTTAATCTATGAAGAGAAAGGTGTAAAATTCCCCAGTAGTATGCGGGGGGAGTGGGTTCACTTTTTCTGAGAATAATCGTTTGCTGTAGTTTTTATATGCAAGTTTTGATTTGGATGCTCCCCCATTTTGTTGCTGGAAGTTCAAAATAATACGCAATTCAAGCATTTGAAACCAAAAAATTGCGGAAAATTAAGAGGACCCCCCCCCCCTTACCCCGAAATAGGATGTAAGAATGTGGCGCACAGTTTTTTTGTTTGTTTTTTTTTTTTTGTTTTTTTTTTTAAGCTTGTCAACTCTGTTCGGAAGTTGGCTCTTTTGAGAAACCATTGCTACGGACTTGAAGTGCCTGTGGCGTAATTCTATGCATGAATGTTGGGGGCACCGACCTGGAACCCCCCCCCTTTAAAAAATTCCTGGATCCGCCCCTGAACCCTACTAAAAGTTTGTTGTTTTGTCGTATGTGACCCCCCCCCCTCCCCGCGTCAAAAAAAAAATCGAATTATTTGCCTGCAAGGAAATGTAGGAATTATTTTTTTGTTTTTAAGAGGAATACCCCTTCCAAAAAAAAGAAGTTCAATAGCATTGGATTGATGACTTTTAAAACTAGTGTCAAAAAGTTAATTGCTCTTGACTTGCTTATTTACAACTCCTTTCATAAGGGGGTAGAAAATTTTATCAATTGAAATCAGACTGAAAACAATTTCAGTTTATTTTATTGACAACACCATATACATTGGCATATAGTCATGAATACAACAAACAATAACATACAAAAAATTTTAAAAAAAATTATTCCAGTAAGCATATCAGTTATGTTGAAGTTTTTTCTTTTCTAATATCAAAGCACTTTTTCAGAAAGTTACACACTCTTCTAGCAATTTTAATACTTTGAGGGTTGATAATGTCAATAATAGGGTTTTCCTTCATGTAACATTGAGCATTAAATATATCACAATATTGTAATCTATACTGATCATAACTAGGACAATAAAGTATAAAATGTTTTTCATTTTCAAGAAAAAGTTTACAAGCATGACATACACGTTTTTCTCTAGGAATAGATGGCCTTGAGTATCTCCCCATTTCAATATGCAGTATATGAGCACTAATTCTTAGTTTTGTTAGGATTGTTCTTTCAGATTTCTTCAATGGTAATTGTAGGTAGTTCTGTAATTTATTTTCATTTAAATTTATTATATTAATATAAAAAGTTAATTTTCCAGAATCTGATTTAGAAATGTTCTTTAACTGTTCACAGATTTTGTTGCTATAGTGCTCCTCTAATTTATGTCTTAAAATTTTATGTGATATGTCCAATGAGGATAAAGACAATTTCTGTTGTAGAGTAAAAAGTTTTCTTTGCCAAGATATTCTAGACCCAAGATATTCTCTGACTCTAAATTTTTTCAATCTTGAATAAAATTTAACATATTTTCATAACATGAATAAAATAGTGGGAATTGTCCCAACTCGTATAGAACAGCAATATTAGATGATTTTCTATGAACACCAAGAATGTCTTTAAATATCACTATTAAATGACTCTTAAACCTCTCCGTATGTTTAACTTATGTAAAATTCAACATATTAGATTGATAAAGTACGTTTTTTATTTGTTATCTCACTTGAAATTGGTAATAAAATGACTTTTTCCCCCGTTTTAAGTCTTTAAACACAGCCCCCTTCCCAGTGAAACAACAACACTTTTGGTATGAATTTGTGAAATAACAATTCATAATACCTGTAAAAAGGAATTGTTATTTCGCGGGGGGAAGATGTTTTCAAAATAAATTTCCGTTTTCCATTAATTTCTATATTGAAAAACATATTTACCAAATTAAAGACATTTCTCTTTGTTTTCCCAAAAGTAGTTTACGTTTTATAAAAAAAAAATCACATAAATATCTACATAAATATGAAAAATCGTTCAGATATGTGTAGCAGTTGGCAGTAAGCAGTGAGCAGTTGGCAGTACGGGTAAGCAGTTCAGTTGGCAGTAAGCAGTTGGCTGTCGTGTATGGAATTCCTCAAGGTTTTTTTTTTTTTGCCTGTCAAGAAACTACGAAAGCCTATTAGGATCAAACTACGGTAAAAAAAAAAATTGGTAGTACGAATGTGAGTGGGGGGGTGGGGGGTGGGGAGGTCCCCCACCCCACTTTTTGGGAGAATAGTCTTGCTATAGTTTAAATATAAAAAAATCATTAATTGATTGCTTGGTCCCTTAACATTTTGTTGCGGTATGGTTAAACTCGGGCAAGTCATTCCATTTAAAAAAGTTTTACCGAAAAATTAGAAAAAGTTTCCCCTCAAGTTTAGGCAGTTTATTTTTTTTCGGGGGGGGGGGTCTTGTTTTTTTGTTTGCTTGCCAATTTTATGGACCCCCCCCCCCCACTTTAAAAGCACGGGCCTGTCAAAAACATAATAATGGCCCTTCAAAAAGCATAATAACGCCTTTTTGAAAGGCGTATTAATGCCTTTTAAAAAGGCGTATTAATGCCTTTTAAAAAGGCGTAATACTGCCTTTTAGAAAGGCGTAATAACGCCTTTTGGAAAGGCGTAATAACGCCTTTTTAAAAGGCGCAATAACGCCTTTTGGAAAGGCGTAATAACGCCTTTTGGAAAGGCTTAATAACGCCTTTTAGAAAGGCGTTATAACGCCTTTTAGAAAGGCGTAATAACGCCTTTTGGAAAGGCGTAATAACGCCATTTTTCGCGTTATAACGCCTTCTGGAAAGGCGTAATTACGCCTTTATTTGCGTTATTACGCCTTTTTCCGCATTATAACGCCTTTTCAAAAGGCGTTATTACGCCTTTTTTCGCGTTATAACGCCTTTTGAAAAGGCGGTATAACGCCTTTTAAATTTTTTTTTTTTTACCGTAGTTTGATCCTAATAGGCTAATAAACCAATTAAATTACTGGGTTGAAATTTTGTCGACTGGGATGAACCCCCCCAACCCCCCCCCGGAATAAAATCCTGGATCCGCGCCTGTCATGAATGAAACTGTACTTTGGAAAAAAAAAATTAAACCAGTCGGGCGTGGTATACGCCATAATACGGTAGATTGTTTATATTTTTCTAGAATTTTACTTTCGTTTTGTTTAAACTGCGTATTTCTAGTATTTTGAGTAAACTAGAATATTCTTAGCTAATCGATTCTACTTCTCGTGAATCTGAGAAAATGAGTTCACATGGAACCAGAACAGAACGAAATCAAAGTAAGAGAATTCTTTGCTTTAAATTGTCTAGTTAGATACAAGTTTATTTATTTTTGAGTGGTTTTAAAAGTAAATTAAAAACACACACACACACACACACACATTGTATGCCATGTATGGAGACAAACTTCAACATGTATAAATCTTTTATACATCTTAATAATTTTGATAACCAAAACTCTGTCACCCGCTTTCTGAGTCTTATTGGCTATAAGGTACAATGACCACAGGATCCATAGGCACTCCCCAGCTTAATTGTTAAAAAATATATATCTACTATACTATAAACATAGTAGATATATATTTTTTAACAATTAAGCTGGGGAGTGCCTATGACAGGATCGAGTCGTTTTATCAATAAACGAGAAATGAAGTAAAAAATAAGTAAAACCCTAGCCATGAGCTTTGCTCATGAACTTGAGCGAAGTGAATTCCTGTTCGCTTCTCTCACTTCGTGAGCAATTGCAAAGCTTATGTCTAGGATTTTATACTCTTATTGCCCTCGCTTTCGCGAAAGCGAGGGGACGTTACATCTCATTTGCTGTCTGTCAGTCTGTCCGTCTGTGTGTCACAAAAACTTTAACCTTGGTCATAACTTTTGAATGAGAAGAGATAGGATATTTCACATGTACATTACCTATTTAGCCCTATGATAAGACATTTCCTTTGTAAATAATACAAATATTATTTTTATATTACCTGTGACATGACCTTTCCAAATATACTATGATTTTTCACCTTGTGACCCTTACCTTGAAATTTGACCTACTTTTTAAAAATTTTATCTTTGCTTATAACTTTGGATAAATTATTTGAACCAGGGATTTTTTTTACCCTTTGATTCCAGGGGCTGGGGCCATCAAGTTTGGGAAAAAATAGTGACATATTTGGTTGAAATTGGGAAAGATATCTTCATATAAATAAATGGGAAAAAACAAGCAAAAGTCATATATCAAATCATTTTTTTTATCATTTGTAGTATGAAGCTGGCTTAAACCAGCTTCAGTGAATATATCAGCTATTAAAGTTCAGAAGCTTAAAAATGGTAAAGCCACACGGTGTGATAACATATTTATACAACGTTGTCATCTTTTTTACCTTAATGTAAGAAGTTCTTTAAAAATATTTTTGATAGTGGGTTAAATTTGTTCCAGATGAGTGGTTAATTGGTATTGTTAGATCAATTTATAAGAATAAGTACGTCATGTGATAAATTTAAATTACAATATATGGAAACTTAATCTTTTCTTTTATGAACTATACATTTACAGATGGAGGACCAAAGAGAGTGAAGACTAGGGTACTTGCAAACTTAGATTATCCTGACATCAACAATGCATTGTTTCACACACTGAACATTGCCAAGAATATAAATCCACAGTTCTATGGGTACTCCTGTCATGATAGAGCTGGTACTTTGGAAATGTACAGGACCAGAAACCAACCAATTTCATGTATGCCAGTTTGCTTCAATTCAGTCATGTGCCACTTTCAAGACAGATGTGCCAATACACGAACACAGATTTGCACCAGGACAACTACTTTTGGGATGTATGTCAAACAGAAGTATGAGTGTGTCATGCAGATTTTTCGAGGATCCATAGTTTTTCAGCTGGAATTTCAGAATGAAGAAGGTTATCAGAGGTATATGAATGACTTCCACAATGGGACATTGAAGCAGGAGATAATAGACTTTTTTAAGAACTGCTACAAGGATTTTGGCCTGGATCCAGATGACCTGGAGTTTAATGTCTCTGTAGAGGATTCATCTGGAAATCCAGAGGGTATGTACGGGGAACATTTAGCTTCAGTTCAAATGTTGTTGTATTCAAAATGCAGAAGAAAGTTCTCTTTGAAATTTTCATTTCAGAATGCATTGAATATTCAGTTTGTTCCACTAATGGGAATATTTCACTGCATGTTTGTATTACTATCACTGATTCTGGTTCTGAAAAAACTTTTGAAGCTCATATAGATACAATGATGAATATCAAAGTGGTAAATTTTTTTGTTTGAATGAACATTTGGATCTTTCCTATCAAAAGAAAGCTCAAAATGACATTCAAACAGAAAATTTTACCACTTCATAGCACATCATTGTATTATATATGACCTGAGGGTGTGTTGTGATCTTGACGCAAGGTCATTTGTACAAGTTCAAGGTCATAAAAGGAAAAAGAGAGCATGTCACCTGAGAGTGTGATGTGTCCTTTATGCAAGGACATTTGTGTACCATATACCGGTATATATATACTCATCTATAAGTTGGATATTTTGTCCAAAACTCTGTGTCAGACTTAAAAGTGAGTCCTGATATTAAAATGGGTATTATGGGTAGAAGAAATAAAGTAATTTTGTAAAACTCCAATGATAATCATAAATCAGAACTAAATCTACTGCAAAAAGGAAGAGGTAACCATGTGTATAAAACACAAGTGCTTACAGATTATAGTAATCTTATAGTTGTTTAAATTGTTAATAAAAGATCAAATATCGATGTCATACCTCAAAACATAAAAGTATATGTACTTCAAACACTGCAGTAAATACAATAGAATGCTTATCAGAAATTTGCAACTGTGAGATTTTGGGGGAAAATCATAGTTACTGACTAATAAGCAGGTAAATGCCAAACTCCTCCAAAATAATCTGACAAAATACAACCAACTTATAAGGGAACTTACTTATTATAGCAAGTACATGTATATATGGTAAACTCAAGGTCACTTACATAAGAAGTGGATAATTTGTGTTTCATCCATAACAATCTATAATTCTCAGAAATATTGCTTATGATCTGAAGGTGTAAGGTCATTTGGTGAAGTTCAAGGTCAATGACAGAAAGTTTGAAATTCTCTTGTTGGCCGTCCAGCCATATTTTTGTAAAATGCAAATACTGGATGCAAGCAGTGAAGAAAAGATGGCTTTTGAGCTGAAGACCCAATGTCATTTAAGGAAATTGAAGAATTTACATAGGGAATCTACTTATTTAATAGGAAACTTAGAATTAACTAGTACCTCCAAAACAAAATGTTTTTTAAGCTACATTTCTTTCAAAACAGACAACAACAATCTGCCATTTTCTGATAGGAACCTGACAAGTGGGAATGAAAATACCGCACCTGAGGAGCAGGTAAATTCATAACAAATATACATCACTCTATATCATGTATATTGCCTGTATCTTTTTTATGTAAACTAATGATTTATGAAAATGCATCTAATTCATGTCAAATGAAGCATAAAAGAATTCTAATAATATCGCTTTTGTTGCTATAATTGATGCAATTGCCTGTAAATATTACAAGTACTTTTTATAGTTGATTTATTATACCTAACTTATACTAAATAGAAGAGAATTTTTTCAAGAAAATTACCAAGAGGAATAGAATTTTTGTTATTGATTTTTCTGTTTTAAATTATTCAGAGCATGGAAACATCTACATCAGAACAGACAGTGAAAAAGCAACACAATGATTTACTACAGGAAATATCAAAACAATTCCTTGATGAAGACATTGAAAATGGTCAGAATCTACGGAAATTCAGAAAAAATGTTATGCATATGTTTCCAGATCTCCTTGTGGAAAATCTCTCTGTTCCTGAAATTTTCAGTGTCCTTGATGACAAAGGTCACCTTAAGGCAGGGTCATACGATACTCTAGTGTCTCTAGTCAAGGACATAGATCCAAGAATGGTTAATATAATCAGAGCGACAGAGAAAATTCTGTCTGAAGAGGAAGATCAAGTAAGGCAAAGGGGTAATGAAGATAAGAACAAGTCTGCAGAAGAAGTAAGGAATTCTGGAGAGCCTGGAATGTTATCATCAAGAACACATGTTTCCTTAGCATCAGCTTCAGCACAAAAAGTTCCAAAGGTAATGGACCAGCTTCCAGAAGAAAGAAGTGACGGGTCTGCAGGCACATCCTCAGCACAGTCAGGTAAGGCTTATCTCTAGTATATAAATGTAATGTTATAATGATTTTTTAGCTCACCTGAACCAAAGGTTGAAGTGATTGAGCTTTTCTGAGTTCAGCATCTGTCTGCTATGCATCTGTTAACTTGTCATATTTTTGATCTCCAAGTAGATCAGTTTCAAACAAAACCTGCTGCAAAGTATTCTTGGATAAAAAGCTAGGGCTCAAGTTTTCAACTGAAGGGCTACAATGATGTAGGTGTCAAGTTTCTTTCAAATGGACCCAGGGGTAGAATGAGCTAAAAAGAAACAAATTTTACCTATAATATATATGTGTACAAGAAAAAAAAATCTTTGAAAAATTTTCTTCTCCAGAACAGCAAGACCATGTATGTCATATAGATATTGAAGTAATCCCCTAAAATCATTAAAAGACCTTTATAGCAGGTGATAAGCCCAGTTCTGTAAAATATAAACTTGATCTGTAACCATGTGGATTCAAGTTTGTTTAAGTCCTGATCCTTTGTTGCTAACTAGGGTATGACCACAATATGGAGTCAAAATTTTTCATAGGAATAAAGAGTTAAAATATATTTTTAAAAAACTGAAGAACAGCAGGGCCAATGTGACTCAGGTTAGTATGGTGGTCCATGGACCTCTTGTTTTACATTGGTAAGCAGGCCAATAGCAAATATAACTTATCTCTTTTATTAAACAATAAGTATACCATCATGGACTTAAACTATGCAAAAAAGATGTATTGTAGGTAACAGTTACAATGTAGGAAACATCACAGCCCATGATGGAATGGTGGCATTTGGAAATTCTGGCAGTGTTAAATGCAAGATAGGCAAGTGTGTGTGTCTTTAGTGGGTGGGGTGATATTGATATAATATTAGTCTGTACGTACATTTATTTCATTATATCTATACGTAATCATGTATTTTACTATTTATTTAGGTAAACGAGACAGACCCACAACAGAAGATGAAGGTCAAAAAACACAAAAACGTGGAAAAATTGACTTCCAAGGTACTGAACATTCTTCAAATTAATTCAGTTAATCAAGCATGATGTAATCATTATGTAATTGAATGTACATATACCAGTACTGTTAATCACTTTTTATTCGTGAGAACTTTATTTTTGCATAATTACACGAAACTGTCTCTTCACGAAAATTTCCTTCCCGCGTAAATTTTTATTAGCAAAGATTAAATAGGACAGTAGTCAGAATTTGTGAAAATTTTGTCTCACTTATAAATGCCAAATACCCATCTCATGAAAATAAGGTGTCGCAAATATTTGGTGATCTACAGTATATATTTTCTTTGTGTTAAGCATCCTCAGCAGGATTCAGAAAGGAAAAGGATGACAGTCTGAGGGGGAAAGAACTGAAGAATTTTTACTCCCATGGATGGGACAAAAGTGTGGGTCATTTATTGTGTGGAAACAAGACGGGGACTGCATTCAGGGTCGGAGACCGTTACCTGATGACAGCATATCACATCATCAAGGATGCACTGGGTGTGTAGGGTTTGACTTTAAAATGATCAGTAGTACACATATAATAATATAGACCAAGTCTTATACTAAACACCCTCACAATGTCAAGGATTTGTGATATTCATTCCAAACTCTTGAAAAAAGTCGCTATTTAAAAGTAGGGCTGGAAAGCTACTATTTCATTTGTTCCCATCAAAGACTGGGAACCAATCAGAAAACAACCTTTTTAGAAGGATATTTTTGTAAACAAATGACTTTAAAATGGAAAGTGCCAATATTGTATGATTTGTGACTAGTTACCTCAAATGAAATATCGGAGAATAATTTTTGGAAGATCCTTTCTCTTACTATCACAAAACAGTGAGTGCCATGGCTTTGAGTCACTTGATAGCAATGAACTTGAAGGAAATCTCAATACATGTACTAGTATTCTCATTGGTTGGTTTTTTTTAATTAAACCTGACTTTTAAATAGCAAATTTTGTTAAGGATTTGTGAAAAGGAACCATATTGCAAAACCTTGACATTGTGAAGATGTATACTTAATGGAAATTTTAATTATATCAAGATTGGTACCTTGAAACCATCATATCAAAGGCCCAAAGTGACCCAGATCGTGTGAACTGCTGTACACCGTTACTTGAAAATTTGAGAAAATTAGGAACAGTTATTGAGATGAGCAACTGTGGAACAGATATTGAGATGAAGATAGAAAATGGGATTAGAAAATGGGCTGAAAAGAATGTTGACATTGTTAACTTCAGCAGTTTATTAGAGGTGCTAGGAGTTTCAGGATTCTCCCTGGCAAAGGGTAACAAATTGCAACATTTGCTTAACTCATTTTTGTTTTCTTTTTTCTATCAAAATTTAATAAGCATATCAAGATACTAATGACCAAATTCTAATAAATATTGTATACTGTTTTCTTTGTAGTCCAAGCTTCAAAAGAAATCACACAGAACCGTATGTCTGTGGTTTTTGGTCGATTGATAGAACAAGAGGATATCCTACCATATCCCCTTAAACTTGACATACCTTTCTACAGTAGCAGTGATGATATTGCTATTCTGGAAGTTGACTGGACAAACTTACCTAAACCATTTAATTTGCAGAGATCAAACATCCCACCCAAATCGGTTCACATCATTGGCTATCCAGCTTCTCACAAGAGTGAACAAATTCTTGACCCCCACTGTCCTCTGATATCATTGGCTGAAGCCCAGTCGACTTGTCAAAGAGCAGTTGATTGGTGGAAGAAAGAGTATCCAACAGAAAATGTTGATGATTTTAGGAATGCTTATAGTTCAGCATTTACAGGACAAGGTAAAATTCAGTTCCACTGTTCAGAATCTACTGCCCATGGTGCATCTGGTAGTCCTGGTTTAATACAAATGCATGAAGAGAAACCAGTGGTGAGTTTGATGCTGCAACAAGGCTTCCCATCCTTTGTGTATGAGCAAAAACACCAAGAACTCCTTAAGACAGTTCCAAAGCAGTTTCTAATTGAAAGTGGCATCAGCATGTCAAGGGTTTATGAGATTCTCTCCAACAAGCCACATTTGCTGGCGTTACGTAATGAAATTTTTCACACTTGACCGTACGTGTAAAGTATTCACCTGATGAGTGAATAATGTAACATTCAGACAAACATAATGCAATTGAAAAACACAGATTCAACATCCAGAAATATCAAGTAGTGATTCCTATGAATTTATTTTTCAGTAACAACATTGTGATTAAATATAAATTATTTATACATATAGTATATGTACTCATTTGTAAAATTAATATTTATTTGTTCATTTTAAAGAACATTTTTTATTTGAATTAGCATGTTGTTTTGTGTAAGCACTTTGAAGACTAGTACTAATTGTAACAGGAACTGTTACAGATGTTCCCCAAATGATTCTGTATTCCCTTTTATAGTGCCCAATTCCCTTCAAGCTTTAATGAATAAGGCAATACTAATTTCACTATTTACCAATAAGTGTGTTTGTGTGTTTTCAAGAATTATCATATAATGTAATCTTATAGTATACTGTGGAATTATCATTGTTTGTGGGGGTCAGTGTTCGTTATTAACCAAAATTTACTGGTTTGTGGGAACATAATTTCGTGAGTAAATTTAATGTTTTATCAAGATAGATAACTACTCTGCTCAATGCTTGTGTGTTTCTGTGTTTGTTAGAATGTAAATTCGTGGGTATAAGGATTTCCCACAAAAATCCACGAACGTTGATGACCCCCCATGAACGATGATTCCACAGTAGCCCATAATCAAGGGTTATACATTTAAATTTCAAAGAATTGAATTGAAAACGAGAAACATTTTGATCAGCAGTCAAAATATTTATCAATCAGAATTCGGTACATATGCATTTATTTCTGATGATACTATAATGCAGGGATGTGTATAATTTGCCCACACTCTGAATCTTGTCATTTTTTAGTTGAAAACTTGAAAAAATATATTTATAGCCATTTTTCAACATTAGCCAGTAAGATTTCAGCACTTGTGCAGACTGCACTATATGTGTTTTCTAGATCTTTCAAATGACACTGTAGTGTTTCTTATTACATAACTATGGGTTAAATTTCAAACTAATTCATCGATAAAAAAGAGAGATGCAGTCATTAAAGCGTTAGCCATTCAGAATTCAGCACATGCATATCCTTGCATACAGTTTTGATAGTATAATATAGGAAAATATTATACTTATCTATATTCGAAATTTCATACTCTTTTGTTGAAAACTAAGGAAGTTTTGGTCATTTAAAGTTCCGGAAATAAAATTGCAGCCCACATAAGTGTGTGGTGTGCGTGTTTTAAAGAAATTTTGCATATGTCATATTGTAGAACCTCGTAATAATATGTATCTATATTTTAAATTACATAGTATTTTGTCAAAAACAAGAAAGTTATTGAGATTTTTGTCCCAGCCAATTGGAATTAAACACACATGCATGCATGTGCATCCATGCCAATGCAACCATTTCATGCAGTTGTGAGCAAAATGACATTCATTCCGCACATCTACACAACATGCTTATTAACCCTAAGAGGGTTTCATCTCAACAAATCATATGATTTTTTTTTTTAGAAATAAAACCTATTTATAGTACAGATTTTTTATGGTTTGGAGACCATATATTTTTTTAATACCTGACGAATTTAAATAAAACTGATGATTAAATAAACCCGTCTTTCAATGAAATGTGAAGATAAAGAACAGTAATCAAGCTCAAAAGTTGATTGAAATAATGCTAATTTGGAGCAGAGCAAACACAGACTTCTAAAAACATCAGAGGTGGGATCAGGTGCCAAGGATGTGCTCCTTGTCATGAATAGGATAATGGAAAATCCAAGCAAAAATCAGTTTGTTACAGTCAGTTCCTCTTTTAATGGAAAGACTACATCAAATTAATTTTACTGTACATAGTTTAAGATACTGTAAAATCACATTTTTTCATGGGGTTAAATTTTTCTGGATTTGTGGGGAGTTTACTTCTTGGATGAAGAATTATTGAGTAGTTATGTATACTTGTGACATTTTGCATTTCATTCTGGTCATTAATTTGTGGGTCTCTTCAAACCTCGAAAATAAGGAAAATTAAACCCCCATGAAATTAATGATCTCACAGTAGTTTACAGAAAAAAGACATAAAAGTTTAGAAGTTCAGCTTAACCTTCTTTAGCATTGATACATCCCCAAGACGCTTACCGGTATACACCTAGTATGACTTGAGTTGACCATGGATCCCAAGCAACCAAAATGCATCAACTTTCAAAGATTGATGACCCCCATGATCACAGAGTTTAAGCTGAAAACCTCAAATTTCAGAAGTACATGTATATAGGTTACTGTGATGCATTTTTAGTTCATCTTGACAAAGTCAACATGAGCTTATGCTCCACCTCTGGCATTTTTGCATCCCAGTTAAAAGTTTTGGGAGCAGGTCTCATACCCAAGTAACTATAAGCCCTACCTGGGCAAAATTTGTATGTGTTATGCATCATGGGACGTACACTACCTGAATTGCTTCAGATGCAGGATCTGACCTACATTTCCTGGATGATGGACCAGGCTAAAGTTTTTGGAGCAGGTTAAAGGTTCTGGAGCCAGTGAAAGTTTAAGGAGCAGGTTTCATTCCAAAGTAATTATAAGACTTATGGTGACTTGATTTGCATGGATCATGCATACATGTATAGGGATGCACATTACCAGATAACTGGCTTCAGATGCTGGATCTGACCTACATTTTCCAGATGAGTGAACAGGTTTAAGGTTTGGAGCATGTTCATCCTCCAGTAACTAAAAGTCCAATGACCAAACTTTCATTGATGATGCATTTAGGGATGCATGCATACTAACCAGGCTGGCTGCAAATGCTGAATTTGACCTACATTTTCCATATGAATGAACAGGTTACAAGTTTTGGACCAAGTTCATTCCCAAATAACTTGTAAGCCTTACCTGGACCAAAGTTGCATGGATGATGCATTTATGGATGCACTCTACCATACTTGCTTTGGATGTTGTATAAATTGACCTACATTCTTCAGATGAGTAAACAGGTTGAAACCCTACCTAGACCAAACTTACATGGATGATGCATCTTAGGAATACACACTGCATGACTTGCTCTGATAATGATCTGACCTAGACTACATTTTCTGGATGAGTGAACAAGTCAAAGTTTTTACAGCAGGTTCATTCCAAAGTAACTGTTAGCCCTACATACATGAAATTTGCACGGATGATGCATCTAGGGATGCACACTACCAAACTTTCTTCAGATGCTGAATCTGACTTCGATTTCGGGACGAGTGAACAGACTGAAGTCTTTGGAGCAGTTTCATTTGCAAGAACAGTAAAACATGCTTGTAATGAAGTGCCAGGGATGGACAATTTTGCTTTGTTACATTAGCGTAATTCGTTATATTGCTTCAGTTTACAATATACTGTTAAATGAATGGGAATGAAACTCACTTCACTGTAAGCATCAATTCTTTTTAAGCATGTTTAATGTAGCTGTAGGCCTTATTTAGGCTTAACTTGTTCATAAAAGATGCACCTAGAATGCACACAACATACCGGGTATGTTGGATCTGACCTACATTTATTAAAGTGGGTTCATTCCCAAGTAAATTAACTTTAATCCCTGTAGTGATGAAACTTGCATGGATGATGCATCTAGGGATTCACACTATAGACTTGCTTCAGGTGCTGGATCTGACCTACATTTTCCAGGTAAATGAACAGGTTAATCTTTTAGTCCATTTCAATTATCTATAACCAACATGGTGACTGAATTTGCATTGAGGATGTACATTACTATAGTAAGGCACAATACCAGACGTGCTTTTAAGATAACAAATCCAGGACAATACACATCAAATTCATTCTGAAGACCATAGACTTTCTATCTTACAATGTTCAACATATGTAGGTTTAAAGATTTTGAGCCTTTGGCTCAAATGAGCTTATGACTAAAATCAGTTCAAAGAACAACTGCAGAATTCTTAAGTCGGCAATAATTCAGCAAGTGGTACCTGAATTGATTTGGCCAGGATTGAGAATCTATGTGCCAAACATCCATTTTCTCTCTGTCTCCATCTCCTTTTCATAAGAAACTGCAGACTATATATTATTAAAAGCTTTTATTATGTATATTTGTCATGAAGTGATTAGCAGGAGATACATGTCACTGGCACAGAATTTAGGCTTTCAACAGAAAAAAAATTACAAATATAGTACATGTATCAATCTGTTTACATACTTCATACCGGTAATATAAATTCAAATCCAAACTACTAGTATTTTTACCTTGTTCAATTTGCAATATATGATTATATAAAGCAACTTTATAGTATTTAGGTACTTGTTCCATATTTGAGAAATTTTGAAATTACTTTTTTAACAAGTTATGCACATTTTCATTGGTCATTAAAATTTTTGAAGAAATTTCTTTTCACCATTTTGACATAGGATATATGAAGATAAAGCTTACATATGTTTGCATTTTACATTTAAACAAAAATGAAACAATTTTGTATGACATACAGTACACCAACTTTAATGCTTGTAATATATAGGGTACATTGTAAAATTTCAGAATGCAATACTGTTCATAAACAAAGCATCTAAAAACTAAATGCATATGTCTGAAAATCAAACAAACATTTACAACAACTAAATGCCCAACAAATATTTAATCAATAAAAAAGCTCTCAAATATTTGTCAATAATCATTTTTGTTCATTAATTTTTGAATCATTAAAAAAAAAGAAGATGTTTCAGAACAAATCTAAATACAATTAATTCTATTCTTTGTTCAGTATAATTTTCATCTTCCTTATAATCTACTTTCTCCAGCAGCCAAGATTATCCATTATATTATATAACAAAAAAAAACAAACAAATTTTCCACACAACTCAAACATTCTGCATTTGACCAGGGCACACAATATTGTGTCTACATATTTGACAATACAATGAATGATATATGGGATACTACTGAATACTTGTAGAGTAAAACAATCAATGCAAAATGTGATTTTCATACAAAATACAACCTTTTTGAGCATTTAAGCACTGATTTTCTTTTTATTGAAGTAACTTAGCTTTATTAATACATATTCCATGTATTTTGTTCAGGAATTTGGGTATTCAAATAACAAAGCATGTACAATATTTTCAAGCATGATATTAAAAACACTGTAAGTTACGTGCAGGAGTAAATAGCTCGAGGCCAACAAAACTTATCTATTTACAATACTTATGAAACATCTGGATATCTTTATACGGCAAAAGTAAACCTAACCGAATTGTACAATTTTGACTTAATAAGTATATGCTAGTAACAGTTACCATAAATGCTTTGAAGGTTGAAATTTTTTTCAGCAATCATCAATCATCATACACATTAGATGAGGACACAGAACTGGTACATGTACAAGTAATCTGGCATAAATAATCTACAATATTTTATTGGTTTAGAGTCATCGGAGGACATTCATTTGGTGTTGGTAAATTATGGGAATCAACTACTTCTATATGCACACAACAGTGTAAAACGTTTCTATAGAACAATTTGGATCTACGGCCACTGATTTCTTAAGAAGAAAAAAAAAACATCTAGAAATTCTAACTTTTCTATTTAGATAAAAAATGTCTACATCATTATTGTTTAATCTGATACAATAATTAATATATATTCTGTAATGTTGTCATTCTTTGGTGGGTGATTAAAATTTCTTCCAAAGTAATATCACAGCTATCTAGTTGGATTAATATCCACATTAAAAATAAAAGAATCAAAATTTCTCAGTTAAATTCACACATAAAAATACTGACCGAAGAAATGAAAGTGGCTAAATTCTTTACAAATATATGCTAAAATGGTTTTTAAAAAAATTGTAGAAGGTTATAAGAATGAAAAATATATATTGTACAATTATAGCAACAAAAACATGGCACTTATTACTTGTAAGGTTTTTTCAGAGTCTTTGGTAAAACCTCAATACACAACACAACAAGTTGCTTCCTACAGCTGAACTCATTCATGTCCACTAACTTTCCATCTCGCAGAGAGCCTGCGTAACCTACTCTGCTGGAGCTGTCTGATCGCCAGTCTGAACATTCCTTGTCGTTCATCTTGTTTCCATTGCTGTCAGCACCATGCCATACCATCTTCTCTGGCCTAGTAATGAATGGATTATATACCTCTTTTTTTGACAACAACATCAAAACAAACAATATCACTGAAAACCTAATAAACTCTTTTAAAAAATCCCCTTTTCTATGATAAATGTATAAATGTGCAAAAACAATTAATAGAAAATATTAGAAATAGACTTTCCAAATTGTCAACTGTCATACCATTTTGGACTTGACATTACATCCTCTCCATCAAATGTGTAGATCTTGACATTTCTGTTAAATCTTCCTCCAGTTTTTAACAGCTCATTGAAAGAACTGAAGATTATTGTATCCTACAAATAAATCTCATACTTTTTACCTTACTCTACAACAGAATACTTATGTACATGTACATTTCTCTTGATAAAAATTTGAATTTCTTGTGTTTCTCAGAAATTCTCTAGGTTCTTTTGATAATTTGAAATTACATGTTTAGAACTTACGTTTTTGTTGACAATCGGAATATTTTTGTCAGACACAATTGAATACAGATTCTGAGTCTTGGAAGCCAGGAAGGCCCTGAAAGTTCTTCCATGCATTCCAGAGTAGTAAGCTTCCTTGTAACAAGCATAGTCAGCTCCAGTCAAGCCTCGGAGTTTTCCAGATTTTGGAGAATTCAGGGCATACATGTACAACTATAAAACAACAAGTCACATTAATATTCACTGGCATACATGAAGTTGGTGTTTGTCATTAAGGTAGTGTGATTCTTAAAAAACAACTATTTAATAGTTTTCTACGTCTAAATTTTCATAATTTTTTTTAGCCATCATATTTACCCTGGGCTGATCTGCCTGCATCACACTATCAGGTCCAGGAAGAGGAATGGGCTTGGGTGTAGAAGCAGGCTGAAAAATACATTAAAAACGAAATTACTGAAACGTGTTTCTTTATATGAAAAGTTTGAACCTAAAATATACACATGTACTAGAACGTTAATATTGTATACTTTTTTATTTTAAAAAAATCCTTTTAATGATGATGCTCTGCACACAAATAGAAGAAATCAATGAATAAACCAAAATATGCACATCATGAACGATATCTTAAAAATGTTTTGTCACATAGCATGGGCACAAAATTAATTTTATTACTTATCTTTCTTTTTTTTAGTAAATGACAAAATTCTAAAGATAATGCATGCACAGAAAAGTAGTCACAATTAGTTTAGCCTTTTGCTTAATATTTCCGCAAAAAAAATATTAGATTAGCAAGCTGGTTAAGTGGCACTGAAAAAAAAATGTCTGATACAACTGCTGTGCAAAAATAAGCCGAAAGAAAAAAAGTTTGCATAAGCTACCAAAACCCAAATTGCATGTACATGTAAATCATTCATAATTTTTTTTAGTGCTGCAGTGTTTTACAGTTAACTATTTCTGTAAATAAAAATTATGTGCGTGAAGGGAAAATGTTTCTTTGTTGATAAAACTTGTTAGCATGACAAAGATATAAATTTTGTTGCATGAGGAAACACTAATATTAATAAAGTAAGAACAGGGATAAAGATCTGAAGATCCTTTGTTAGTGTCTATAGATACTAAATTTGGTAATTTTTACAAACCGAGGTACTAGTGATTGAACTAGCAGTAGTGGTAGATTTGTCTGTAAGCTAGAAGGAAGAGATGGATTGTTCATGTCAAAGTCTTAAAAACAACACTTTCTTGACTCTTTATACACTTGAATGGAAAAATGTCTTTGTTTCACACTAAATATTAAAGGTTCAAGGTATCATATGATAAGGTTATTATTCTTTTAGACAGAAGAGTGCAGTTATTTTGATTCATAAGTATACTTGTCATTTTTCAAATCCATAAGGATTTTTAAATGCACAAATGTAATGGAATTGAATACTAATATAATTACATATATTGCAAAATAGTAAAAATATTCAATATTACATAGATCAATCAGATCTATAGTATCAGTACAACTAGTTGTGAAATGTCACTAGAAGTTCATTATATATTGATTTTGTACAGAGTCTTCAAAGCTCCTGCTTTAATACATTATGTTTTAATGATTTCTATGATAATTTACAGTTATTCAGCTGTATACATGTATGTGAAACATTAGAATTAAGCCCTCAGCATTGAAAATTATTAAAGCTGCCATGACAAGCAGGTTTTCGATTATTATTTTATGACACTTACCTTTTCTGATGGAAGTCTGATGATGTTGGAGCTCATCTAAAACAGAAATACATTTTCATAAAACATGCATATACAATTAAGAAGAGTCTTTAACCAACAATATTTTTTATGTACTTATCTTGTCATCAAAAATTTTAATACTTAACTTAAATAAGTGTTATCAAAGAATTTAGATTTATTTTCTAACTTAATGTTTGGCATAGCTAGCTGTCACATGTAAATCTACAGAATATGTAATACATATAACAATGAAATATAGTAATACTTGTTTATTTTATTCATTTAGAGTTGTTTAAAAAAACCTGGTTGCAAAAAAAAAAACACACTTCAGAATAATTACTCTACTGGTTTTCACCTGCTTACAAAACTATAATAAAAGCTGCAAAAGCAGATTGTGACAAAATAAAAATTTCCCATATTTTATCCTCCAAACATTTTCTGTGAGACAGTTTGTTTTATCATAGATATACTTTATTTTTTTAAACAATGACATGCTTAGATATACATGTGCACTCTCAAAATCACCAAACAAAATAGAAAGCATGTGATATGAATATCATATTGTATGAAAAGATGAATTTCAATTGACCAGTATTTCAATATTTTGCTTTTTTAAAATTTAATAGTACCATTTTCTTCTTTGTGCAGTTTTGACCATTTATACCTTAATTCAACAAAGATGCAATGACAAAAGCTCCATAGTTTGCAGAAAGCATTTTTAGTCCCCTTTATAATTTAAAAGTTAGTTAAAAGCCCAGTGAGAGCCCATGCTTTTTTTTTTAAAACAATCAATTTGTGATTCTTAAAATATTTAAACAATAAGTATCAATTAAATCCAGAGAAATCCATAACATATGCTTTTGATGAGTAAGATTTAATTATCTCTTTTACAATATAAGTCTGATTTGCTAGAGATTACTGTAAAAAGATGTTGGAAAAAAGTATTACTCCAGAACCACAATATAAGCTCTGCACTTTCCTTTGTATTATCTAAGTAATGCTTTAATTAGCAACAAATATTCATTTGTGTAGCGTACAGTGAAAACTCACCCTGACCAATCGTCCCTGAACACAGTATTTGTAAAATGAATGACATGTGCAAAAATAAAACTTTTCATAAAATGTCAATACAATCAAAATGCACCTAAATTTAACATTATATTAAAGCTTTCTGACACACAAATACAAAACTATTTACATTATTATATTCTTTAATTACCTGGAGTTGTTTAAATCCCTCTGTCACTCTTACATAAACTTCTTCCTCTTTTAGGGTAAAAGTCATGGTACCAATGGGAAGATTTCTTGCCGCATACAGCATGTTGTTAAAGTCTTTAAATGTTACAAGTCCCTGTTACAACAAACAAAATTATTATTCAGTGTCCCAAAGATCCCAGAATATCATCTACATAAAACTATGAGGACAGTAATCAATTTTGGCAACAAATGATCAATTTATCTGTGACAACAAACTTTAATTTCATTTTTTTTCCATGCATAACCATGCATCAATTGAAAATTTTTCAGTTTGCTACAGTCATAGATATAAAAGTAAACACAATACAGAGATTTCTCCTATAAATACAATGAATGCTTACGCCGCCATTCCCATTTCCACCAGTTCCAGGGCGCCCAGGAGGGCCAGGTGGTCCCTGGATATAAGAAGGATCTCCCTTTCTTCCTGGATCACCTTTGTCACCCTTCTGGCCCTGAGAGAAAGAATTATCTCATGTTCAGTAAAAACTAGAATCTCCAATAAACATTTAGTTATTATGTCATTTTATAGTCCCAAAAAGACTCAGAAACTTCAACATTAACAATTTCCTTTTTCTGTGGAACATTTACACTTTCCACTGATCAATTACATGAAGTGTTGAATTCCCAGTACCCACAGACAGCACATGATTTAGTAAAATTTTCTAAATATCAATATCAATATCAGGAAGTCTACATTTCCCAGAATTCACTTTTTGACACTAAAATTTTAAAACAAATAGGAATCGAAATCTCCTCAAAAATACTTAATTTATTGGTCCCTAAAACTCCGAGATGGAACTCATGCCGACAAATGAGAAGGTTGACTGACAACTACTAAATTGGTAAACTGTTACAAAGAACTTATTATACGTTACGGCTCATACCCGTTGTCCAGGGAAGCCACTGGGGCCTGGTTGTCCAGGGAAACCTCTTTCTCCTATCATATTAAAAATTAAGACTTTAATGAATAAATCTTGCGAAAATTTTCAGATTAACATGCAATTGCAGCAATTTACAAGCATTACGAGTTACAAACAGCACAAAAAATAATTGAAAACTAACTCCTGAATATTTGATTTTTAAAATAATTTATTTTAAAAAGTACTGCTCTTGTGAAGTGGATGATAAAATACCTGGTACTCCTGTTCCAGGAATGCCTGGTAAACCTCTCTCTCCACGATCTCCCTATAGTAAGAAAGTTTCCAGCATTAAATCACAAAAATACATGTACATAAGAAATTCCAATATTTTGCAATAGAACCCTTGCAGTTGAACATACCTTAGCTCCACGAATGATTTCTCCACTTGGACCTAAACCAGTTCCAGGGGGACCAGGAGGGCCAATGTCTCCCTTATCTCCCTTGAACCCTCGAGGTCCAAATCCTCTGTCACCTTTCCTTCCGCGGAAACCTCTACGGCCCTAAAATTATTATACTCCTAATAAAATATGTCATCTTAAGAGGAAAGCAAGAACTTTTTTCCATAGCAATTTTTTCAAATTAAAAGTAGAATAAAGATGTTTCTTATAAAGTTTTCCATTTTACATTTTGTGAAAATGCATAAAAAAATTGTCTACTCCTCCTCTTGCAACAGTTTATACAAGACTTGTTTATCACTTTAGTAATTTAATTGACATCAGTAACAATCACTAGGGAGCAAACAGTCTTAGATTGCTAATGCTGGCCTATACTAACTGGTATTCCTGGCATTCCAATGTCTCCTTTACGGCCTGGAAGACCACGTGGTCCAACTGGACCTGGGAGTCCTGGTTGACCTGGGACCCCTGGTTCTCCTTTCAGACCCTAAAAATAATTAACAAAATTCACTGTGCTTTAATGGTATCTGATAGCTGATTATTCTATTAAGTCTAGTGTAAACTGTATGAATCATCTGCAGCTCAAAAATATTTTTAAAAAATTCAATCACAACCAGTCAATGCCAATATCATACCACCAGAGGCTTTCCACTTCCCCCATCTCCCGGTAGTCCAGGAGGTCCAGCTGGTCCAACAGGCCCTGTGTCACCTCTATCACCTTTTGGACCCTGAAGAAAGCAGACATAGTTTGCATCATTAGGATATTAATGCATCCAAACATTTCAATATGTATAGGAAATTGTATTATTGAAACAGCATACTGAAGTCTTAATACTTATAATTTACTTACAATAAGTCCTTGAATTCCAGTGTCTCCCACGGACCCCTTGTCTCCCCTATCACCTTTGTCACCCTTTTCTCCATCTTTACCAGGTAATCCCGGTGTGCCAGGTGCTCCCTGAAGACCAGTGTCTCCCTTCTCTCCCTACAAATTTCAATACATCCTATCAAACTCAATTAAAACCAGGAATTATTTGATCATCAAAATATTTTATTCATTGCATGGATTGGGCCTAAAAGCAGGCATGACTGCCTACAATTTTTACCTCCATATTCTCAGACACACACTCATTATTTTTTGAATTTTTGCTGAATGCAACTAATTTTAGTGAATACACACCTCTTCTAAAGTCACAGTCTGTCACCCACTGGCACATACCACGTAATAATACGATATTACCTGGCCAAAATGTCCTTTTGACACTATGAAAAAGTTATCACTATCCCTGCGAGGTTTATTACTTAAACCAAGTTTTATTTGATTGCAAGAAATATTCACAAGTTACTAGTGATGGGATTTTTTTTCATAATCCATTATCGGAATAATTGGATGCACTATAATCGGTTAAAAATCGATCAATTTCAAATATTATATTTGTTCATTTTTGAATGAAGAATAAATTGGTTAGAAATTCTAGAGTGATATCTAGAATACATTTTTGAAATATTTTGTATCATTGGGTTCATTTATTAGATTATTATTTAGGATTTAGTTAAATTCAAAGAAGAATGAATCAAAATTCAAAGGAATAATTTGCTTTTAACTAATATTTTGAGTAATCGATTATCAAAATTATAATCGATTATCTATAATCGGGGACCATTTTGATTAGATAATCGATTAATCGGTACATCACTACGAGTTACACTACTTTCTTTTCGCAGTGAATATTTCTCGCCATGAACTATTAAGAGGAATGAAAAAGGTGGAGATAACAAACAGTGATCGATCTCAAAAAATGCACAAACAATACAGATCTGTGAACAGGGCATAAAAAACAGACTCCTGGAAACTCCAGAGGTGGGATCAGGTGCCAAGGAGGAGTAAGCATCCCTGTTGACCGGTCACACCTGCCATGAGATCTATGTATTGATCAGTTGACAGAATATTCCATAGACAAATTTAGTATAACAAGCATTCTGAGAGTATTGCATTAGCAATACTAGTCCCCTACCGGCAAGTGTAATCTGGTTCTCATTAAAAATTAAAAATGCTGTAATTCCGTCAAAAAATCATTGAAGTGGAACATAATGCAAACTTGATCTGTAACTCATCAAGATACACTCACATACCAAAAATCAGCTCAATATCTGAAAGCGTTTAGAAAAAAAGTGCGGAAAACCCTAAAAAATTAAAAAGGCCGTAATTCCCTCCAAAATCAATGAAGCGGAACGAAATTCAAACTTGATCTGCAACTTATTAATATACACTTACAAACCAAAAATCAGCTCAATAACTCCAAGAATTTAGAAAAAAAGTGCGGAAAACCAAGTGGGACAGACTGACAGACAGACAGACTCAGAGGAAGCCTATAGTCCCCTCCGGTTTCACCGGTAGGGGAATAAAAACAAAGGCCCTAAAAATTGGTTTGAAAAACGTCAGCCAAAATATGACCCAATGATAGGTTATACTTGCTAACAAGGTCATTAGAACAACCACATAATTCACAAAATGACTTTAAATGTGGTTGTTGAAATCCCTGTAACATCAACTTATTTGTCAGTAGCCTGCTTCAGTTTAAAAATTGATCGTACTTAAAGAGCATGCTCTTGAGTATCAAATAAGTTGGGAGATGTAAACTATATGCAGATTGGGAAATCACATGAAGCTGGTCACATGATCAAATCCCACAATTCCCAAAGGGCATTATTTGATCATGTACCAACTTCATATTGTATCCTAATGAAACTCTAAAAAATGATATTTTATTTCTTATATTTAAATTTCTATTTTGGTTTGTGTTACAAAGAAAAACTTGCACTTTTTAGATGCTGTAATAGAAATGCAACAAACATACAAGTACATGTACAACATCATATGTGATGTCACAGTCTAGACTTTCCCATTGTCTTGTGCAGTTTGCTTTCCATAACCAAGAAAGTCTGATCACGTAACTAACTTCAAGTCATCAGAAATTGAATGTCAATTTCGTTAATATCATCATTTAAGGAAACACACAGGCAAATATTTTGTTTGTGTATTTCTGAAGAATAATACCTTCGTTGCAGAAATTTGTTGTTGTGGAAAGCTTTCAAATTGACATGTTGCAAATAAAAGTTGTCGTGAATAAAGAGTTGGTTTACAGTTTAACCATATGTAAAAAGTCTGGAAACTCTCATATTCAAGCCAACCATCCTCATCATTTTTAAATCAAAGGTGTTCTTACCTTTTGACCAGGTAATCCATCTACACCTTCTACTCCCCCTGACCCGGGCTCTACTACACTGATGGCTGGTCCAGGAGGTCCTGGGGGTCCAGGAGGCCCTGGGGATCCCTCTACCCCATCTTTTCCATCTTTACCTGCAACACCAACACCCTGCTCTCCCTTTTGACCCTATGTAATGGAAGATTTTAACAATCTTTACTTCTGAAATAATTTAAAGAATTCTACAAGTAGGTCTGGCAATCCATAATTGTGTAAGAAATTTTTGACTTTGTTTATGACTATATACAAGTGAATTGTTATGTTAACTGAACATTTATTAGGAATATTAACCTTTGGTCCCTGTAGTCCTGGGAGGCCAGGTTCACCTGCTACACCTGGCAAACCAGGGGATCCCATTGCACCTGTCTCACCCTGTGGCCCCTGTGGCCCTACACGTCCAGGTTCTCCCTGGTAAACAAAATTAAACAATAAGCTCTAAATCTACGTCACATCAAGTCCACAGCTTAACTAAACATGATTCCCTTTAATATTTAGTAGTCTTTTAAGAACAAGTGCTGGTAAGAGTATGATCATTTGAATGCATATGCAAACAATCTTATTGACATGCTTATAACCAAGTGCAAGGGACAGATGATTTTGCTTAGTAATAAATGTAATTTGTTATATCCATTAAGTTCACGCTATTTAACAGCCACGGGGAATAAAAATCACTTCGCAGTTAGTGTCTGTTCATAGTAAGCATGTTCGCTATAAGCATGTTTTACTGTATTCTTCTAAGGATAATCTTAGTGATTTCTTTAAAACCATCCTTTTGCTCTAAAGATAACTTTATTTCACACCAAATTTTCTTGCTTTATTTTTTAAAATCAATTTAATGTTCTTACAAAATAATGATGAAACATTAATATCTTATGGATATGAAAAGAGAAGATTATCCTGTACATACCGTGGGACCTGGTTCCCCTCTTTTGCCTGCAGGTCCCTCCTTTCCTTCTGGACCTTGAAGTCCCCTCTCTCCTTTCTCTCCTCTAGCTCCTGGGGGCCCAGGTAAACCTCTGGGTCCCATTGTGCCATTGATTCCATCTCGTCCTGGTGTCCCAGTACAGGTACAGTCTCCTCCACACCCATCCCCAGATCCAGAGAATTCCTGGAGATTTATATATAATGGTAAGTAAAGATTAATTTGCTTGAAGGCAGGGTTTGTTATAAAAAAGAATACAAAACTTGACATTTTAACAGATAGAAGCAGCTGCTGATACTGGAATTTTTTATGAAGACATTTTCAACAAAAATTTAATTTCCTCCTTAAAATTGCCACAATTATCAATAAACTTCTGCACTGAAAATTTTCAGCAATGACTAAAGATGTATTTTGTTAGTTCATGAATCAACAATAGACTAACCAGATCATCACCAAGCCCTGTCATATCCCCACGAATGGGAGAAGACGAACATGTTCCAGGGGGTCCTTGGAGTCCAGGCAAACCTGGTACCCCCGGGGCTCCAGGGGCACCTGGCAGTCCCCGGGGTCCAATAGCACCAGCTGGACCAGTTGGTCCCTCTGGTCCTGTCTGTCCATCTCGTCCGTCTGTCCCTGGTTCGCCCATATCCCCCTGAAAGCAAACAAGCAAGTCATCTCACAAAATTTACTATTATTGAATACCTTTTGTTTTATAAAATTTTTGATAATTTATCCAAATTAGATTTCATAAAAATATTACTAAAAACAAAATATTTATACATAATTGTATTAGTTTTACACATTCTCATCATAAATAGTTACTCACTGATACAGAGCAATGTAACATTTGTAACAGTGATTATGCTACTGTGAGTTCAAAATGTACCTTTTGACCTCGCGGTCCAGCAGGACCTTCTTTCCCCGGTATTCCAGCTGGTCCTGGCATTCCCTGGAAAGTAATAAAATTATAAATATTATTTAACATTTTACTCATTTGTAAAAACTCTATATATTTTTGAGGATTTTTTTTTTCAGTTTTGCTTTTTTAATGAAGGTAACTTAATTATGTGGCAAGAACACTTGTAAAATAAATTTGAATAATTAATAGTTTGATGAAAAGGACATTAAACTGCATATTCAACACAAAATGAAAAGTTACTTTCCTTGGAAAACATTGAAACTTTGTTAAATATATCAAGAAAAAAAACAACATAAACATTATACAGGAAACAGACCAAAACAGAATGAATCCAAATAATGATAATGCACCAGAAGCAAAAACATCTTACAAAGCAGGAATTAAATCAGTATTTTATCCACTAGTAATATTTCCAATAAAAACACATTTCAGGTAAAATCCTTTACCTGCTCCCTTTGTATGATAGCAAATGGAAATTGAGAAATTGACATCAGTTGCACATTTATAGAGACATGACTATAACAAAACATTTAATATGTTGTTGAAAATGATATCCATGCACCTAAATATTATAATCATTATGTTCCAAGTAACAAGCGCCTGTAATTATGGTCTACTTACAGGAAGTCCAGGGTCTCCTGCCTCTCCCCTTGGTCCTGCAGGTCCAATGAGATCTTTGATGTCACCATCAAATGTACCAGGTTCTCCTGAAAATCATAAGAGGAACATTGTCAACATATTTGACCTTGTAACTATTTAAATGAACTAAGTGAAAAAAAGTGTTTTATTTCAATTTATTAAAGAGCTAAAGCCACGAACCATCAAATTTGGCCCCGTGTTTTTCCCAAAAATAAAGTTTCGATTCAACAAGAGTACTATACATTAAATGTTAGAGGACAACATACTTGTTTTCCATACATAACTTATTTTGTTAAATAATGCGCCATTAGGCATGTGCGATGGTTGGAACATGCGACGGTGTGATAAAAAATTTAAAAAATGCCGATTTTTCTACAGATTTTCCCAAAGTTAGATGTCGCCACAGTCAAGAACAACTTTTATACTTACCACAGATATAGATATTGCCGATACAAATCTTTATGCTCATTATCGTTGTTGTTCGTGGGTGTGGCCAATATGAAATTTGATTTTATATTTAAATTTTGATGCATCAAATAATCACTAATTTGTAAATCAATCGTTAACATTTAATTCATACAACAATAAAAAATTATACATTTCACAAAATATGCAAGAAAAGCAATCTATTGTTCGTTTAAAATGCTTATTGTGGAAAAACACCTTAAGAATAAATATTTTCTGAAATAAATATCTGAAAAAACATGGTTTTTATTGTGAATAGGTCCATTATATATGACCTTACTAATAATACGTCAGTTGTGACGTCATAAAGGCGCTAAACTATTTGGAATGTTTATGCTCTCGAGTGTTGCCATTATTTGTATGATTTAAGCCCAACTGGATGATACCATCAAATTATTAATTATCAGAAATTCACACCAAATTGTTTTCTTTACTACCCTTCACCCCCCCCCCCCACCCACCACCACCAATGGCTGCTTTTTAAAGCTGTTGTTAGACTTCAATTTTATATTTAAGCATTTTTTTTTAATTCATATATTTATTTTTATTCATTTAATTTTTATATTCTTGAGACAATTTTAATACTATTTTGCGTGTTTACAGACATGACTCAAATTGTAAACAAATTAATAGAAAACGTGCAAAGATATCACGCTAGTACCTTTGTATTGTACAACAAACGAAATAATTAAAACATAGCTTGCTGTGCAAAGTGAAAATAATAAAAAAGAAATTAAAAAAACGCATTTGAATAATCATCTACATTTCGGCTAAACAGAATCTAGGTCACGGGCATGGGTTCATCAAGTGCAATTGTTTTGACGAAACCCGATATCGGTACACACATACACGTATACTATAACAATACATTATTTTGTACCAGCATATATAAGCCATCGATATAATAACTGTGTTTAAAAAATCCTCTGAGATGATTCTTATGCATGTACACAAAAGGGTGAATTTCCATCCTGCTTCAAAAGCATATATATTTTTCAATGTCTGCATTTAATAAATTCGAAGTGAGGATATTGATGATGCATGTGAACCTATAACACATAAATGATTTTGTTATCATTTGTGAAACATAATCCAATTAATTACACCCCCGTGAGCAAAAATGCATAAAAAATATCAGAGTATGTCTTAGAAATCCAGTATAAAATGTTAATGCTTCTTTTACTGTGCTCCAAATATTTCATAGTTACTATCACAATTTAAGTAATTTATGCTTCTGATCGTCAGTTAGTGGAAGGGGTATTGGTTTTAAATCTATTTAGACAATATAAAGAATAAAAATAAATAAATAAAATAAAGTAAGCTACATATCAATTACTCTTAAGTTTTTTTTTTATCTGCCACCATTTCTTCATTGCGACTGTAAGCATGGGTTTTGTTTTATCTAAGAATTCAGCACCATGAAAACTCATAAAGAGAGAGAGAGATTCCTTAAAATGTGTTTAAAAATCAAAACAATAAACCAGGAATATGTTCTCTGAAACGTATGGGCGTAAGTTGTTTATAGCTGGATATTTTAAACCCAACGATGTAGATTTTTTTTTTGATAATACATGTAATAAAAATATTTTTTTTTAATCTATTGTCAGCTTATTCTGGTATTGTACACTTGTACCTCTTTCCTTAGTATTAATTAATTATTAGTATTATGATATGTAGAAAGGACTTATCAGGGGATTCAAGACTTCCAGCTGAGGTTGAAAAAAAGGGGGGCACAAACTAATGACAGCAAAACTTGCAATTACTTGTAATTATTTAAAGATATACACGCTATATAAACGCAATTTTTTATGTGGAAGAAAATGATTAAATGATTTGAGAAACATGAAGGTAATAAAAAATAATTACTTTCCACAAAGTTTTACTAAATAAGTCGTTATAATTACAAAACAATTAAGCAAGATCTGCAATTAAGAATTCAGCCTATTCATGAATATTGATGAAGGAAGTGCGTAAACAGTATATAGACATGCATGTCTGCGGGAAATCATAGACAACAAGGTACGTTGCATTTTGACTACTATTTTGAATAAAAGTTAATATCTGTCATTATAGAGTAGATGGTTAATAATGGTTGTTTTCAAAGATAAGTATCTTTAAACATAAAACGTATGCCATCCATGTCAAAAGCTATTTTGTATACCAAACGGCCTACCTTGTTTCCTTGACGCCATTTTTGTTTATCAATCTAAAAGTAACGACGGTGTCACATGATGCATGACTTTAAATATAGCATTACTTTCCTAGTAGGATAATAAATAATTATAATTTGAGATCTTTATAATGCCTTCATTTCAAATTATGTAATTTACAATATTTTCGTAACTTTATTTGGTAAACAAAATAAATAAATTTCCAACTTTATTTTTAACTGATGCAAGTTATAGCGTGTATATCTTTAAAGTTTAATCACTTGTCTTGAATTTAAGTTTCTTTATTGCTTATTAACAGAAATCAATCTAGAAATTGAAAATTGCTTTAGACTTTCCTATCTTCTCATTTTATCCTCAGTGAGAAGGGGGGGGGGGGGTGCCCTGTGCGGAACCACCACTTTGTATGAAAAAAATATTTCATAAAGAAAACTGAAAAGAAAATATTGGGACAGCTCTTATTCTTTCTGCGGGTAAGACCTTTTTAAGCAAGTTTTTGTTGAATAAAATCAATCTTGCGCTGATTGTAGGACAATAAGACAAGGATAAATGAACACCTATACATGTGTTTCACTTAGGAATCAGCAATTAATATAAACGCAGCTCTACTCTTTTTATCAACCATAAAAACCATTATGTGCAATTATATCGAAAGTGGGTATTTTACACTATATAGTTATATGCTAAAAACGAGTATTTGCTCATGTTTGATCCTTTTGTACTTTTACATGGAAAATAATCATATAATTTTCGCAGATTTTTATCTTCAAAAATTCAAGATATTTGGGAGAGAAATATTCGAATATTTTGCAAAAGAAGAAAGGGGGGAGGGGGGGTCTAGCAAATACTGATAAATATATAATAATGAACAGGGCTGATTTATTTTCTGCTCTAGCCTTAAATTAGTGATTTTTTAACAGATTTATCTTTCTTAAGAATATTTTTTTTTGAAATGTATTCCATATTACTCCAAAGAAACCAACATTTAGGGCGACAATGTTTTGATGAGTTCTGTTTACTAAATAAACAATTCTGATAAGTTGCAACACGCCTTTTCAATAAATCTAGAATTTTCTGTGTTTCTGTTTCGAAAACGACATTCAAATTATTGTTACAAATGAGTAAATGGATTAGAAACAAGTCATTCCAACTTTTGACTTCCTCCGTTTTTCCAAATCATTTAGATCTTTTATATGTTAAAATACTCGCAAGTTTAGGATCTAAGAATTTCGCATTAAAAGTCTATTTCCATATAAACAAAATGTTTTGCAATTACTTCTATCCAGTTATTGAATTACATTGCAACCCTTACAGTTTAGAAACATTCGTTTTAAGATCATTTCAGGTATCTTTCTATTTTCTTCTGACAGCCCCCTTCCCCACTTTGAAAAACAAACTTCGTGCCTGGATGCGCATTCCAAAGATGAGCTTAATATTTGCAGGCGTGTAGGAAAAAGTCCGGAAAACTAAGTTGGACAGGCTATCGTCATTTGAAGCAAGTCATATGTTTTTTAATGATGTTCAATACTCAATACTTACATGTAACTTACATGTAACTAGGAGCGATGCATCGCACAAAAATGTGTTCAAGGGATAGAAATACAAAGTTCCTTCTTAAAAAATATAATAGCATAGGGACCAGGTAGAGTGAAAACTTTCCGAGACAGTCACACAGATTATTTTTACTGTACATGTATCTATAAAATTCAATCAGTTGCCATCAAGACTGCGATGTGAAATCAATTTCCAACTGCTCTTAATTGTCTTAAATTAATTATGAAGTTTGTTAGTAAGATAAATGTCCATCCCAATTAATACTAGTTTTAATTCAAAGTTACATATGTAAAATCGCTCAAAATAATTTTTCCACCTACGACGTTACGTTTCAAAAAAATGACATTCTACTAGCATTTTTCTTTTAAAACACCGTCATACTTTAAACTCTCTTTTTCAAAAAATATAATCGATATCAAAAAAAAGAAAAATGGCAAAGAAAAGCTAAAAGTCTACACTATCAATTAACAAAACCCCGTTACTTTTTGAGACAGGGCCATTTTTTATGGTTCGTGGCTCTTGCTCTTTGTTAAATAAAGGTGTAGTTAATACACTGTACATTAAAAAATATTTTTTTCAGAAACAACACAATCCTGATTTCCATGTTTTCTTCACCTTTAGGACCCTGGGGTCCAGTTTCTCCCCTCTCTCCCTTCTCTCCTGGGACTCCAGGTGCACCAGGTAGGCCAGGCTCTCCATCCACCTGCCCAGATCCCTCTGCAATTCCTGGGAGTCCTGGGGCTCCTGGGAGACCACGCAGTCCTTGTTCTCCTCGTTCTCCTTTCTGACCGGGCAGTCCTGGGAGACCATCTTTTCCTGGAAGTCCCTGAGGTCCCTCTATAGATTCACCTGGTTCACCCTGGTAATTATATTCATGATTCAAAAGATTTGCAAATACAAAATAGTAAATAATTATTAGTAAACAAAATACATATAATACTGAGCATAGATGTCAAGGAATGACATTAAATTTGAAAGTCTCGTTTTTTCTTACAAGAGAAGTTTGATGATAATAATTATAACTGAGCTAAATGCAAGTACTGATGTGGAGGGTATAATTGATGTATTAGCAATGTCAATTTATAGAAAATTTTTGCTTTGCAGTCAAGCCATATGATGCTGTACTAAATATTTCAACAGTACTTCAACATAAAATGCATCCTTTGAAAAATTATTTTTGAAATATGATAATGTCACAAAATATTTTTAAGTACTAAGTAAATCCCATAGTTTAAACAACTTTCTCTCAAATATCCAAGTACATGTACATGTATCATAATTCAAAGTCCACACCTTAAGACCATTGGGTCCCATTGGTCCAAGCAAGCCATCACTACCAGGTAACCCAGGAAGTCCAGTATCCCCTCGCAGACCCATATCCCCCTTTTCACCTCTGTCTCCCTTCTCTCCTTTCTCCCCATTGCTTCCTGACCCTGGAAGTCGGGTTTCAATGTAATCTGTGATATCCTTCATGTTGATGACAGCAGGTGCCCCGGGATCTCCTTTAGGTCCCTGTACACCAATTCCTGGGACTCCCTAAGAGTATCAAAATATAAGAAATTTTTTTTTCCTAATATAAAAACAGATATGTCTCTCCCCTTCCCAATTATAAGGCAGTTCATTATGATCTTCTTGACATGTCAGTGAAACAATGTAAAAATAAAATATCTTGTGCAATGGTTAACAACATACATGTATTTGGAACTTTTTAAATTAATATGTCTCTTCTTGTAAGGATAGACACTAATATTATCTCTCCTCCTTCAAGGGAGAGGACATAGATAATAATAAAGCAGGAGAGATAATGTACAAATTCAAAATCAATCTTTAGAGATATATTTTGAGTTAATTACTGGTAAAAGTCCAATTCTTCACTTCACAGGAAAACAAAATTACCCATTATTTATAATGCAATGAAACCAAACAAAAACGTACACAAAAACCTGTTATTAGTTATTTTGAAAGAATCGACAAGAGTTGCCCTCTGTTATTGTAAACTGCAAAAAGATTTTTCAGTTTAACTATTGGGGCAATGAAAAAAGAGAACTTTCTCATAATCAATTTGATAGATTCACTACATGATAACCATATTTGTTATAAACATGCTAAATACATTATTTGGTCCAATCACAGAGACAGCAAAATAACATTTGTTTTAGAAGTCTAATAACATAAGCTTACTGGTCTGCCTGCTTCCCCTGGTTCACCCTTTTGGCCTGGTTCTCCATCCCTGCCTGGAAGTCCTATTTCACCAGCAGGTCCCTCTGCACCATCAGCACCAGGTAAACCAACATCTCCCCTAGGACCTTGCAATCCAGGTTCTCCCTTCTCACCTAAGGTGTAAGATAGATTTTATTTCTCTTTTGAGTCTCTTTACCTCTCAGGAAACTACATGTAGATACGAGAAAAATTTTCACAAGATGACATTAATGAATTTAATAACTTTTTCTACTTGCAATTGAATTCCCCCAATAGAAAATATACAAAAGTTAAGAGGGAAACATTTTGTAATACTATAAACCCCTGTTACGGTACAATCTCAGTCCAAATGGCCATCATACAAAAAAGTACTGATTCACTGTTTATCTATACCACTTAAAAATACCTTAATTCTAATTTGACAAATTGTTTCTTAAGAAACAGACCAAGTGGCAAACAGTCACCAGATTAACTCAGTGACCTATTTAATGCTTCCTGCTTACCTTTCTGTCCAGCACCTGCAGGTTCTGAGGCATTGCCAGGTAATCCCTGATCTCCCTTTTCTCCTTTAAAACCCCTATCCCCACGCTCACCCTTTTCTCCCTTGATAACTGAAGGTGGGGGCTGAAAAAAAATTAAATCATCACGGAGAATTTATGACCCCAATGGTCAATAGATGTATGCTACAGTTTTCAAAATGACTACAACAAGAGGCTCATGGGCCACATCGCTCACCTGAGCACATTGGCTAGGAAAAAGCACAAATCAGTTCAGTATTGAAAAGTTTACATGGGGGGGGGGGGGGGGCTTGAATTTTAAACTATCTGAGGATGCTTCCACATCATTATAACAAAGGGCTTTGCTATTCTTGTATATTCCTTAGCAAAAATTTGATCCCCCATTGTGGCCCCTCCCTATCCCCAGGGGTCATCATTTGTACAAACTTGAATCTTCACTACCTGAGGATGCTCCCATATCAATAAGACTAAACATGGCTTTTCTGTTCATGAGAAGATTTTTTCCTGTATATTCTTATGTAAAACTTTGATCCCCCATTGTGGCCCCATCCTACCCCTGGGGGTCATGATTTGAACAAACTTGAACCTATACTACCTGAGTATGTTCCTATGTCAATATGACTAATCATGGCTTTGCTGTTCTTGAGAAGAAGATTTTTTTCATATATTCTTTTGTAAAACTTTGATCTCCCATTGTGGACTGACCCTACCCCCAGGGGTCATCATTTGAACGAACTTGAATCTACACTACCTGAGTATGCTACCATATCAATTAGACTAATCATGGCTTTGCTGTTCTTGAGAATAAGATTTTTAAAAATTTTTCCTATATATTCCTATGTAAAACTTTGATCCCCCATTGTGACCCCACCCTACCCTCAGGGGTCATGATTTGAGCAATTTTGAATCTACACTACCTGATGATGCTTCCATATCAATATGACTGATCACAGCTTTGTTGTTCTTGAGAAGAAGATTTTTTTTAAAAAAAATTTCCTATGTATTCCTATGTAAAATTTTGATCCCCTATTGTGGCCCCATCCTACCCTCGGGGGTCATGTTTTGAACAAAATCGAATCTACACTATGTCATGAAGGTTTCCCATAAATTTCAACTTTTCTGGCTTAATGGTTCTTGAGAAGAAGATTTTTGAAAGATGACACCAAATTTTCACTAATTCTTAATTATCTCCCCTTGAAATGGGGTGTGGCCCTTTATTTGAATAAACTTGAATCCCCTTCATCCAAAGATGCTTTGTGGCAAGTTTGGTCAAATTGGCCCAATGGTTCTTGAGAAGAAGTTGAATATTCTAAATTTTTTTCCTCATCGAACTTGTGGCTATGGCAAGAATTTTATACTTCCAAAACCAGTGACCTTGACCTTGTCCAAATTACCCTGGGTTAGGGTCAAGATGTTCCCTTGAATTACAAGCACCCTTGGTCTCAAATATAAGCTTTTACAGTTTATCTACTTCAAAGTTGTGACAAAAACAATAATTTAATACTTTAATAACCTGTAACCTTGACCTTATCCAAATTTACCTCAGTACTAGGCCAAGGCACATTACTGGTCACAAACTACCTTTCCATTAGGTATGAGCCTATGAAGTTTCTTGGTTACAAAGTTATACCAAGACAAGAATTCCACACTTCTTATTCTTGTCAAAGTCACATATGACAGGAATGAATTTACTTTGTAGAGCAGAGGCAACGATAAAACATCACAACCATTGAAAATCTCACACTCACAGGCCGTATTGTGTAGTATTTTTCAATTCTCGCATTGTTTATATTTTCACTTATATATTGCTGCGCTACTCTATAACTTCACATTTCAATGAAGTTATTGCATGCCTATTTAAAATGTACATATATATAGCTTGTTAATGATACATGTACTTGTATTACATAATGCTTATTTGAAATAATCATTACTCCAATATTATTACCACAGTTTTGTAAACATATACAGTAAATGTTCAGGTATCTGAACCTCTGACTCTTTGACCTTTACTTACAGGAGTTATGATAGGTGGGATAATTTCTGGTGCATCTGTTGTCCCTGAACCTGAAGATCCACTACCATATAACTGTAAAAATGAAAAATGCATTCATTTTTACTTAATAAACCTATAAAAATGTCAATGACATGTCACTAAGCAGCAATTTTTAAGCTTGATCATCTGAAATTTACTTCTAATGTCACTAGAGTTACAATAGACATAGCTTTAGAATTCCCTCCTGTGAACCTTCAGTAATATTTTGCCACTTGTTTTATTTAATTCTAAAACTAAATTCCTGTAATTTTCCTGATTCAGAACATAAATCATATAGTGTTGAATCTTGATCTGTGATCCTGTACCTGGTCTTCACAATCAAAATTCTCTGCCTCCGCTGGATCTGCATAAATCTTCAGCTCCTGAATGACTCCCTACAATAAAAACAGTTAACAAACTGAAACTCAACATGTCATTTTATCTGATCTAAAGTAAAGAAGACAAGAGTCAGGTTTTGTAGAGAAGTGTGCTTCTGACAAGAATTGCTATTCAAGAGCCAAAAATCTGTCTGATGAGTTCTGTACCTAATCATAAAATTTCTTCAGTGTCATTTTGTACTCAAAATTTTTGTTTCATGACTAAAATGCTGAGAAAGGAAGCAAGTGGGTATTAACTGATGTATAGGTTCTATAAATCAGGACAAAAATGTAAACAATGTCTGTTTGATTACATGCTTTGGAGGAATCTCTCGGTTTTTTTTTTTTTTTTTTTTTGGCAGTTTCATAACAATGGTATGAAGAAAATAGTGGTGACTAAATGGAAATTTATACATGTATCAGGAATTCAATGAAGATGGTATAAATGAAATACTGAACAAACTTAGCAAGTTATAGTTTTATTATATAAGACTGAAAAAATCAGATCTCTTGCTCCAAACCTCCTCTTTAAGTCTGCTACAGGTTTAGTCAATTCTAGACTGCAGGAAATACAAATCATGACAATACACTTACATAACTAGAGTTACATCCCTTTCTATTACCTTATTCTGCAATGATGACATAAACATTTGAGGAATAGCTGGGTATGCCAAGACATTAACAATAGTTGGAAACATGGAATAATTTGCATAACAGGCATCCCAGGAAATTGACATGCATATTAGGCACTTGATCTTTCACTTGGCAAAATTTACATTCAGTTGATCAACACACTTAACTTTCTCTAAGTTATCAAAGAAAAAAAGTTGGAAATGTAAATATTACTTTACCAACAGATAAAATTAATACAAATGACTTACTGTATATGTATTGTCGAAATTGTCTCCACCTTGTCCGATATACAAATTAGCTCCATCTTCTACATCTAACGGTCCATTTTTTCCTGTTACTGTTTTAGTTTCAACTTTGGCACAATTTTTGTATAACGTCACCTTATCACCTTCTACTTTTAAAGACAATCTGGTCCACTTGTTATAAAAATCTCCAATGTCAAAAGACACTAACTGATTAGACGATGGTGCAAACCGAACATCTGCAGTATAGTATAAAATTAATTTGTTCGTTGTCAATTCTATGCCAAACTGTACTATAGTGTTATAAAGATTTTTCACTGCGAATAAAAATCCACCAGTTCTTTTGTTTGGTTTTATAGTTATGCCAACTGCAAAGTCTTTAAAAATTTGGTTTTTGAAAAATGCTTTTGCAGGCTCCTTGATGTGAGCACTGTCTTTTATTTCAAAGGCCGGGTAACCATCCATTCCGCTGGCATAGCTTACCCCCCTCTTTTCACCTGGGACACCAATGGCCCCCAGTAAATCTATGTTAGCATCTATAAAAAAGAAATAAAAAGTTCATATTAAAGCATTCTGAAAGAGTTGTGCAGCAAAGCATGCCCTCTAACGTCTTGCAAAGTATTTACTTATAATGCCAAAAGTCTAAGTTTATTAAAAATTATGAATATAAGAATATTCAATATGTTATATACCCTCTTAACATCTCTACTTTTCAAGAAGGGCAGATAAAGACTGGGTATCACAGTTTTTATGGTTTAGGTGTGCTTTATAGACATCTGGTTATAGGCTTGTAGTCATACTATCAGCACTCTCGTTTACATGTAAAATCCCCCTCCCCAAATATGCTAAGCAGAAATATTCATTCAATTTGTTAGTACCATTTATCAACAAAAATCCCTAACATAATTTTTACAAAGAAATATCTTAATATACAGTTATTCTTGAAACAACAGTATTAGGCCATAATAAAAAAAAATTCCTAGATTCTCTTCCCCACCCAACCCCCATTTTTAACTCCGCCTCAATTTTTTTTTTTTTAATTTGTTTTTCTTTGTTTTTGTTCTGATCGGGATTGGTATTCATGCAACTACCATTCAACTTTTGTTTTAAATCCCATAGAATGTCAGCGTGATTATGACAGCTTACAAGGTGACTGATCAGGTCAATAAAAAATCTGCACAATTGAAGAAATAAAAAATATAAAATAAAATCTGCCTGCCCGCCTCAATTTTTCAAAAAATGTGGATGAGTATCTAAGATTTTTTTATAATCATGGCCTTAAGTCCTGGTCCATAGATTCATTTTAGATCACATATCAGTGAATTTTTTTAAACCCCCCCCCCCATTTTCTGCTTTTACAGTATATAAGTTTATATATACCAGTATATAAACTGCAAAAATGATCATAAAAAATAAAGAAATATAACATGAAACAGACTTCAAACAGTATTTAAATTTAAATGAATCAACAAAAATGCCCTAATTTTGTCATGCAGGGTCAAAATTCCACAACTTCAGAACTCTAGCTAATCTATACACCGTAGAGATCCAATATCTGATGACTTAAAAAAAATCCAAATACCAGAATTTCTATATTTATATTTTTTGGTCACTAAATGGCCATATATCCATAAAACAGAGATGGAATCCTTGAAAAACTCAAAATTCATCGACAACTCTGCTAAATGCTGATCAGTAGTGTATACCTAATCTTATCTTTCGATGTAAAAAATATGAATAATTATACATATCAATGTATATCATACATCTCAATGACCTAAATGTATATAAAGAAATACTACAGTAAAACTCATTTAGTACACACACGATTTTTTCTGGATATAACAATTCAAAAGTTTTTTAAGATCCCTGCAAAATTCTTAACAATTCCTTGTAAAATTTATGGGTTAATTATAATGAATTTGAATATAGCGAATTTATGGATAAAGTGAACTGATTTTGTGTCCAGAGGAGGTTAAAAATAAAATTAATATTAAAATGTTCAAAGATCACAATATCTTTAAATACTGAATGACATTATTTTTTGTAACTATAATGTATACTTTAACAAATTTGTTATACAGATATAACAAATTACGGTATATAGCAAATTGATTTGAAGTCTCCAGGACTTTGCTAAAGCCGAGTTTTACTCTAGTAAAATTGGATGTACATCATATGAATGTTATAAATATATTAATTAGTTTCCCCTAATGTGATAATTCACAGCTTGATAATGATTTCAACAATCAATGCATGCACACATTTGCTTGTTCCTCAAGTTCATCTTTGCAAAATGGGGCCAACTAGCTCTTCTTGAATGGAGACCAAAGAATTGTTACTTTTTTACTAGATTTTGCTGGTATTTAAAAACTAATCAGAAATTACCTGGGCAAGCATCATGTTCATTACCTAGTAGATATGGTAACATCATGTGGTTCAAATGCACTTTAGATAAATCACCATTATGAACATAAATTGATTTTATTAAAACACACCCAGTTCACTGTGCATCATAAGAATTCAGAAACTGTCATTTCCTTCAACTTGTCTAGTAGCTATTAACCTTTACTTTTCAGAACATCTTGTAAGGAGAAACTCTTTTTTTATGTGCTAGACAGTTCCTCCCACACAAGGATATTTTGCATTAAAATCTCTGATTTTGATAAATTTGTTTCATAAAAATTCAAAACAGCACGGTCTTTGAAAACAATAGCCTCAATGGTTCAAAAGACACTGTAGGTACCACACAGAGAGAGAGAGAGAGAGAGAGGGAGAGCTAGAGGTCTCTCACTGCTGGAAATTCAAGTCTTCAAATTACTCAGTTAAGTAAATAATCTTGTCATAATTTATTCGTATAAAATTTTAAATCTAAGTCAGTGGTTTCCCTAGGCTAGGTGCAATACCAGGACACTTTAGTACATGGGATTTAACAGACAGAGGGTGTTGCAACCAATGTAAATACAGACAGCCAGACACTGTGACCCTAACATCAAACTGCGTACGCCGTGTTAAAACCACACAGGTATTCAAATCTTAAACAAATTATTGCTACCTGGAATACCTAATACTTCTTATTTAAAGGCTCTTATAGGAGACCTTAAACAAATACTTTATGGGACAGGAAAGTGCTTGTACATGGTATTGGTTTTGAAATTCATCCAAAAGCATATATTTTTCAAATCAGAAAAAAAGATCTTTGAAAGGTCAGTTGTATTTATTAAATTGCAAATAAATGTGCAGAAAACTTGATAACTTTGGTCCTTTTTTCTGCCATATCAATGGGTTTTACCAACATGACTCAATACAGTTTTCAACCAAATCAAAGCCAGTTTATGTGTCAGTCTAGTCAAAACCAGCTCTTTCCACTCCCTCAATGAAATTTTAATGCCTCGGAGAAGTTTAAACTTTCTTTTATACACTATAATTTTCAATACAACTATTACTTAATTTCAAAAGTCCTTTTGATACTCATGACCTGATGAAGCCCCCATGAAAACTACCCATTCATGATTTATAAACCCTAACAAAATTGATTATTATGGAATGATAAGAGAGTCAGAGACAATTTCTGTGAACATCAATGCTTGCAATCATCCATGGGCTATAAACTCTAAATGCTTCCTATGCATTCAATGCACCATTTATTAACACTCACATTCCAAATATCTTATCAATAAATGGGATACCTCTGCACACAAGACATAAAGCAATACTTCATACTTCTCCTCTCTGTTGGGCTTTTAACAGTAATCTTTTTCCCCCCAAGGCAGACTGGGTTTATGGGTAAAACCTGACTTAGGGCAGCAGGTTTTAGCATCAAACACCTGATTCCATTTCCTCCCCTGCTCTCTGGATTCTTCCATCAAGAAGTGATTAGGTTACAATATAATTCTTGTTTACCTCCCCACAGGTGGCAACAAAAAACAAACACAAAGTTTTCTTGAATCATGTTGCAGTGGTTTGCTGGTCGTTCACATATTAATGCTTTCTGCTCAAAGTTCAATCACTGTCTGCTGACCGAATAAACAGCTTTCTGACTGAAAATGTCGGCACGTTATTAAGATTAAATGTATCCAATGGAGAAAATACAAGCTCTGTATCTTATCAAAGTTTGAAAGTTTTTGTAGAAAACTTTTGTCATCTTTCTACTACTACATTCGTACACTGGACAAGGAAATTGTTTTGGCAAAGCTTTTCAAATAAGCATTTTTTTTGGGGGGGGGGGGGGGGGGGGGGGGAGGAGATGCAATCTCTGCACTTCTTTAAGATAAACTATCACCTTTTAAATCTGCTAATGTGAGACCATTTTGAAAATATAATATCATTTATCACTCTTTTCTGTGCAATTTTACACATGCAGTCCTTCATTGACATTTTTATACATTAATGTATACAACTGAACTACTAATCTTGAACTTTGATATCTCAAATACAAGGGATATATTGAAGTGAGTTAAAAGTCCCACCTACTTCTCCATTATATATTAGTTTTTTTTTTTTTGGTCCTATTGAGTTCGAGATAAGGTAGTTTGACTGTATAGTGCATGGCTATATTCAATTTTTCAGATGTTTAATAATTAAGGATATAATTAAAATCATTTGTATTAAACTTAGTTTTATCTCTGTACTTAAAGGTTTAAAGAAATAAAGCCATTTATGTAAAATTAATCATCATTGCATACTTCTTTGCAGAGCTCATTAGTTTTTTCCTTATTCATCATGGTGAATTTCTAAGAGAACTGCTAGCTGTAAGGAAACAGAGCAGGTCACGTACCTATTAATTTGACTAAAAATAAAATTGTATCATAATCTTGTGTAGTGATTATCCATAGATACCTGTAAACTAGCTAATGCAGATAGCTGATACAGCCATTGTTGCAAAATTTTAATTTCTCAAAAAAAAAAAAAAATTAATATTCTTTTTTACAATCCAGAAGTGTAACAAGTTGAATAATCTAAAAAAAATAATTTATAGTTACTCTGGTTTTAATTCATAATGCATATCAACAGATGTTCAAATTAAATTTTATGCAAAAAGATCTTTCTTGAAGGAAAGCAAGATAGCTAGCCGTTACAATTTTCTGACTGATTCATTCATGTACCTTATTATAATAAATCTTTTAGGCCCCTCACATTTTGTATGAATTTCTCACACTAGTTTTATATTCAAAATATAATAGGCTATTATACATTTTGAGATTATCATGGCCTCAAATTAGCTCTAGAGTAAGGTCATTGACCATCTACATTTAAATTTGAATCTATGTCATCTATAATTAAATGTTGTGGAAATGAATAGACAGTGGAACTGTTTAGCAAATCATTATGCCATTTAAGTGTCAGTGTTTAAAATGAGATGTTTAAATAAAAATTTCACAATTATATGTTGAGTCTGACCCCTTTCCTCAAAACCTGTGAAATACGACCTTAGTGTTATCTTCACTTCCTATCTCTTTTATTCAATTGTCTCATTAAAAGAGAAAAAATGTTGATTCCAACATACTTAACACATAATGTCTTTCATATTATTTGA